ATTAGTATTTATATAATTTACAATTAAAAGGTACATCTAATCATAATTGTACTCAATGTTAATAAATAAAAAAATAATATAAAAACATATAAATCTTATTTCTATTAATCATATTTAAATCAAATATAAAGATATTGATACAATATTTCTTGATAAAATATAAGCAAAATAATTATTTCATATAAACTATAAATTGTTTGGTAATAATTTGTTAACAACTCTCATAAATTAGTTGATATATCACATGTACTTTATTAAGATACCAAATGAACGTTTATAAGATTAAATGGATTAATTTGAATATAATATAATTAATACAGCATTTAAAAAGTTAATCATAATTAAATTAATGATAATTTATTTACAACATAATAGGGTATCGTTATAACAGTGATATCTCCTGCTTTAATGGACTTTACCTGTATTGTAAATACCACTCCATTGATTATCACACATTTTTTTTCATTATATTCATTTGGGACCTTATCTGGATCATTTTGTAAATATCTTTTTTAAAAAGTATTAGTATTAGTAACTGAATAAATAATTTGGATTTTTTACTCATTTTTTAGTGGGCTTTCTATTTAAATATATCAATAGACAGCTAACATTAACGATATGCCTATTGTTATATGGATTGGTTACGGCATTGTTACCTTTAAGTCCCAATTTTGGTGTTATGTATTTGTTTGGATTTGTCAGTGGTATTGGTTCCGGTGTTTTGGATGTCGTTCAGACTGTTTGGTTAATTGAGATGTGGGATGAAAGCGGATCTGTACTACAGTTATCTGAGTTCACTTACGGTATCGGTATTACTGTCGGACCACTTATTATTAAACATTTTCTTGAAGGTATTTAATCAATAATTACAAAGCGTTTAATAAAGTGAAATATTAATACAATTATATTTGTCTAAACATCAAAGTTAACTATATTTTATGATTATTATAAAATAAGGTGACGATAATTGCATTGATTATACAATACCTGCAAATGAGACCATTGACTATAGCGCCAAACTGTTGCTACCGTTTGTCATCAGCGGATCCCTACAGATAGTTGGAGCAATTCTTCTGTTGTTTATGTATTTCTTTCGCAAATACATTCCTATCACTGAAGAAGATGAAGAAGATATCATTAACAATGACATCAAATCATATGAACAAACCTCTCGTCGAAGAAATACCATATCTATTGGTGAAGCGCGTGATAACGATTCGGGTGTCGTTTCAATGCATTCATTCAAAACAATTAATAGCAAAGATAACAGACTTTCAATTAATAATTTGAATACTAATACTAATAATAACAATAATATAAATGAAATGATTTTTAAAAAGCGAAGACCAGCATCTGTTAGATATCATACTTTACCAAAAAGACAAAATTTTTCTACATTTCAATTGAATAATAATAATCCTATAAAACCCATTCACTCAAAACTACCGGAGCGACTGATGTTAGGTTTCGGTGCCATATGTTTTGCCACAATAGTGGTGGCAGAGACAGCTTTTCTTGACTATTCGCCAACTTTTTTCAGATATTACACCGACAAGACTGGTATGTCTTAAAAGTTATTAACACTTAAAACTGTAAATTAATTGTATTTTTTATTAATTGTATTACTTTAGGCGATGAGACGGCAGATATGTTATCGGTGGCCACCGCCTCATATACAGTAATGAGACTAATAAGCATCTATATAGCTATGCGCGTCAAACCGGATCACATAATGATTTTGCACTATATATTAGTTTTTTGTAGTCTTTTTATATTATGGTTTTCTAATGATAGTCCTATAGTTATGTGGACGGGAAATGTGTTGTTTGGTGTCGGTATATCCGTGTTCTGGTCGGCAACCTTCTCATACATTGAAACCTATTTCGAGATTACCGATAGAATCGGTACTTATTATGTCTCACTTTTGGGTTTACTAGAAATCAGCAGTCAGTTCATTGAAGGGCCGTTTCTTGACACCAATCCCGCCGTTTTGCTCTTTTATCTCATGGGACTGACATCTCTTAGTGTCATCTCATTCATCAGCATTAAAGTGATAGTTTATAAAACCAATATAATGCCATTAAGTGATACAGAAAGTGATAAAAACTCGATATCAAGCTTTCCGTGTAAAGAAATAATCACTTTTAATATTTAAGTTTTTATAATATTTAATTATTAATTATAAATATTCAGTTATTAGTTTTTATACAGTATTTATTTTAATACAAATGTATGATAAAAATTACTTTCTTTTTTATTAAAAATTTAATCTAATATTTATTGTATAAAAAAATTATTTTATTTATATCTTGAGTTATCAATAAATTTATAAAATTTAATCTAAAGTTGTTAACATATTTATATCTAAAGATAAGATAAAGAAGTTTCTAAAATATTCCCAATTTATTTGTGGAAAAATAAGTCAATTTGTTGTTTGATTACTATTATTATTATTATTATTTACACAATGTTTTTAACATGTGATACATTCAATATTTGACTAAATCATTGGAATTTCATAAAAAAATATGAAATATTACATAATATTTACAAATAAATTAATTTAATAAGTAATTGTAAGTTAATTAAATACCATATATTATAAAAAACAACTATAATCAAAAACAGAAAATTAATTGATTCTTAATAAGTAAACGTAATATTTATTTACGTCAATAATTTACACTAAACTATAATTAAATTATAAACAATAATAATATAATCACATAAAATCACATTAATATAATTGTTATTATTTGCAATAATGTATATTTATATAAAAAGGTAAATTTCCAAGAAAAAGTTAAGTTCAATAATGTTTATTAAGTAAACAATTTATTTGTAAATTAATTATTTATTAATATAAAAAATGCATTTCGTGTTTAATTATTAATAAAGCAAATATGATATAATTAGGCAAATAAATTAAATGTACTTTTTATATAATTATATATAAGTATAGACACATTTGTAAGGCCACGCCTACAGTCGTATTTGAAGACCAGTTATATTTGAAATTTTCATCAATGAAACAAACCATTTGAGTTGTAGAAGCACTGGTAGTCCTGTAGTAGTCCTCTATTTGTGAAACACAAATCAATTACTTTTTAGACAAAAGTCACTGACGTTTGCCATACGTATGAAATAAAAGTTTTTATAAAAAAGTTTGTCAATAGTTGTGTTTGAAAGTTATTCACAGAATTTTATTAACAAAATAATTAGTTTAAAATTCTTTGGTTTATATTAATCGCAAGAATATTTCAGCGATAATATACAGAATCTTAGTGTTTGTATGGAATCGAGAGCTCAACAATTAAAGTAAGTCTATTATAGTTATTAATTATTCAATATATGTATTATAATTTAGTTTTTAATTATTTAATACAGTCATTTTGTTTGAATATTTATCTGCAAATATTTATTTAATATTTTTAAAATGATAATATCGTTTGATATAATTTCTAATCGTTAGAAAATAATTTTCCATTAAAGATTTGAAAATCTAAAATTAAGGATTATTTTAATGATAAAGTATTTATTATAATTACAGTAATTAATTAATTAATATAAATATGTTTTAAAATATTAAATGGCGTAAATTATTATTATAATAAAATTAAACCAATAATCTAGTTTAATACAAAGTAATAAAAATATAATAAATGTATATATAATTGAAATCACGCCACCGGATAGATACTATTGTTATGCATGTATGCATTCAATAGAGAAAACATAGTAATTATAGGTTATATGTCATAACCCCAACTCTCTCCCGTTGAATGACTATTGAATTGACTACAAGTGGTTTATACTGTAATATATAGTATACAATAGCAGAGCACGAGTGTGTGTTTGTAGGGCTTGTCGTCCCATTAATTGTGGATTTTTCACAACACATTCCATCACTATATATATAAAACCTATAATTTAATGGTCAGAAAAAATGCATATAATTGTATAGTGAAAACAATTTCATTATAATTTTGACTGTTTTCTCATTCAACTTTAAACTTATATATTTCATACTCATCTATAATTAGGTATTTTTCACAAATAGTGTTTGTTATCTTTATCTATAATATAAATATATTATGCAGTAATATTTATTATCTGTTAATTGTGTTACTAGTTTTTTAAGCTGGGTCAGTCACGTAGTCGCAATTAATAATTTATTTAATACAAAAAATAGCAAATAATTAAATTCATTAGTTTTAATTAAATATATATATATATTATAAAACCAAATAAAAATTTAAATCCACAAATAATATGTATAAATTCTCTATAAGAATCCATATTTTAAAACTTACGGAAAAAAAAGAACAATAATTATTAAATTTTAAGTAATTTTTAAAAACTATGTATTGAATGTATATATTATTTGTTTGGTATGTATCGGCAAATCCACAAAGGGATCTAAAAATACATTGCAATACTTTGCAAGTATTGCTAATAAAATGCCAACAATTTGTTGTTCAAAACTAACCGCTACTCCTATTCCCAGAATTTTAGTTAAGGAATGTTCGAGATTTCACTCATTTAATTATTTTTCGTTATATTATATTTAATTATTATTTATTTTTTAAGTAAAAGTATTAATTTTTATAATTTTTGGTTAATTTATAATGTATTTTTAGATAAATTAATTTAGAGATAAAATTAGATAAGATTTACAGATTGACATATATTTTTGAAATAAATTATAGTACTGTTTAATCAAATAATGGATTTTAATTATTTTGTATTATAGTTTAAATTCGGTATTTCATTATATTTAACTTTTATGATTATTATTTTAATAAATAATTATTATTAATATTTGTTTTTACTTATGTAATAATAATAATTAGCATTATCAGTAATTTAACAAAATATTAAAAATTATTTAACTTGTTAACCAAAATTTAAATAATTAATAAAATTTTTATTTAATATGTAGATCACGAGTGATTCTTTTACGGATCATTTTGATATCATTTTTAATAGTAATCGTAAGCATGCCGTCCACACAATCGCCAGTTCCCCGAAAAATGATGAGAAGAGGCAAACGAAGTTTTGCATCACTCAAATGTTTGGGCGCTTATGACAGGTCTAAGTTTGCTAATCTCAACCACATTTGCGATGAATGCTATCAATTATATCGGGATCAGACCATACATGTCGCGTGCAGGTATCACATCCATGTCTTATTACGAAATTACATACATTGAAGAGTTTCAAGATTTTTTAGAAAGAGAGAAAAACACACAAACATACACCTGACCCTCAAATCAGACATCAATAACAGCAATGAAGCTTTAAAATCAAGATATTCTTGTTATTTGAAGCAACTAAATGACCAACAATTAGCTAATGTCTCTAAAAATAAGTCCATTTATTGGTCATTCATATCATTTGCTAAAACATACTGAATGAATGGCTACTTATAGGAGTTGCTGTAAATTAGAAATTATTAAAGATGTAGATTATTATCATTCATATTATATTTTATGCATTTAATAATTAATGATTTTTTGTGTTTAATTGAAAACTATAGGGAAGACTGCTTTCGTAACGATATATTCTTTGGATGTGTCGATGCATTACTTTTATCTCATGAACACAAATCACTGAAAGAGATGATCAATCATATCAATGGACGCAAATGACAATTACTTTTTCATTATTGCAAACTATTAATCAAATTTACAAACTATTTAATCATATTTTTATCATATATTCATTCAGAAGACAGTATATTTAATTATAATAATTATATCTTTATAAGAAACTGTATTATTATATTCAATATAGCTTTTATACATTTTACATTTATTTTTTATGATATGTATATAAATAATATTTATGCATTTATATATACAGTATATAATATATTATTATAAATATTTTTATATTTATTCTAAACATTTACAAAATTATATAATAAATACATTAAATGTAAATTCATTTAAATTATTACATAAGTTAAATAAATTTATTATTTATTAATAAAAGTGTTATAAGTTATATTTTTGTATAATTTAGCAAAAATATTTATATTTGATTAATAAACTTTTTATATTATTGATAAAACATTTTAATTGTTGTAATAATTTGTAAATTAAATTTGTAAAGATGTGATATATTTGTTATGTGAAAACATCAACGTCTTAATTGATGTCTTAATAACAAATACTGTATAGTATTATCTGTAATTAATAGTAATTTCATCAATGAGTATAACTATTGTTAGATAAGTTATATCGTTTTACACTATGTATTGAAGAAATCCTAATATTATTTAATTTAAAAAAAATATTTTGTATTTTATATATTTTATTTATAATATAAATTATTTACTATTATATAACATATACCGATATAATGTATACTATTAATACAGGTATCGTATAATACAGATATAAACCCAGATATTAATATTTATTAATTATAAACATAACGTTATTTATGATTTTATTTATAATTTAAAGTTTATGCAACAATTCAATTGAAAAACACATTATTTTTATTTACATTTAGAGTTAATTTTTAATGAATTTCCATTCAATTCAATGCCTTTACTATCAATTGATTTGATTATCGATTGATTAGTGCTTTCATTCAAACCATTTGTTTAACAATAAGATTACCGATAAGTTTGGCCACAAATTTACGGATTGATTGATTGTTTGGCCGCAAAAATAATGGCCACTCAAGTGAAGTGTTTGGTCAAATTAAATGGTGAAAAGTTTCGTGTTTTCATCGATGATGTGATAAGCGGTGGCTATAAATTGGCGCCGAAGACACGGTTCCGGTTTGTCTACAAAAAGATACAGCAATTGAATGCAAAACTGGACATCAATTTTGTTAATTACAAGTTTGAAGTGACTATCAATTGATCACTTTTTTATCATTATTTGTCTAACAATTGATCTTTTAATTTACTGTAGCTCTGGGACAACGATTTTAGCGATTATGTGGTGATAACCGATGAAAATCAAATGATCGACGATTTGTCGCGTTTTAGAGTCAGTCAGAGGAAGATCAGTGATACCGATGTCTCAGATAAACAAACCAAACAAAATAAAACAAATGACAGCCGAGTGGACAGTACGACATATATGCAGTCAACCAGTGGTCACCAAATTAGTACAAATCATAAGGTTTGCAAAAAGTCGTTATTCTCAGAAAAATCAACGGACGACCAGAAAATGAATCCAAAATCCAAGACTTATAGAAAATCACCGGAAAAGTCATTATCATTGTCACAAACTCGAGCCAGAGATGTGTCGCCAATAAAACAAAAGTCTATCCCATCACTTGACATGCCATCGACATCATCATCATTGACCAGAACGTCATCACTGGTGACACCAATCTCTTTGAATATTGAAAACAATACTACTTTAGATTCTCTGAATCGTCGCATAATTGATATGCTTTCTATACCTCTGTTGTCCAGTGAAGACGTGCGAGAGTTTAAAGACTTGAAGTATGTCTTGGATTTGAATCGCGAGTTGTTTGAAGTGAATTTTGAAAGTAACGGCAATTGGACTAAAATTTCTAATAAAATGAAACAAAAGGGTTATAATGGACCCAAATATTCGGGAAAAAATCTTAAAGAACTCTTCTATAAATATGAAGCTCTTTATGAACAGGTATTGAATTATTAATTAATGGATTACTTTTTGAAATGAGTTAATAATAATTTATATAATAATTAAATGTATAAAATTGTTTAAATTATGTTAATAGTTATTAGAGTACTGTAGTGACGAGCGGACGGCCACCAAATACTTTGCATTGTTTCCGATTTTTGAAAGAATGCAATTGCGGTCATACCTTACATCGCAATCATTCCAGAGATTGCGACTCTTAAGGGAAAAGTTTGATTTGAAAGTTAAATCAAATACTGGGTCATCGATTCCAAGTTCATCGTCAGTACCGTCCACACCAATCACACCCAAAGTGTCGTCACAACAAACTGTGGTATTTTGAAATTATTGTATAAAACAATTACCGAATTGTAATTAGAATTAATCGATTTATAGGTTAGACCACAATCTGAGACAAAGCTTAGCAACAAAATCAAAACAGAGGTAATAAATCTATAAATGTTTAATTAATTAATTGTACTGTTAATCATATAAATCAATTTACAAATAGACGACTGACACACTTAAAAATAGGACAATTGTGTCGACTCCCGCACTAAATACTGGCTTTTCTAGGGATACTCAAAGTGCTAAAAAGGTTTTAACTTTTATTATCTATATATTAAAAATATGATTCTAATAAATAAATGATTTATAGACGTTTCCGCGTCAACCAGTGTTCATACCATTACAATCGGCGCCGCCGTCCAACATATCGACACCACGAGTCTCACAGTTTAAGAAACCATTGCCAACGCCAACACATGAAGACAAAAATCCAGTCGTTAAAAAAGTAAAGACTGAAGACCCAGATCCAGATGTCATTGTTTTGGATTAACTTTCAGTTAATGTTTGATTGAAAAATGTATGAAATTAAATATTTTTTTAATTTATTACATATTACCTATAATTTTTATAATAATTATAAAAGGTTTAATAATATTTATTAATTTAATGTTAATAATTTTGTTTTTAATTCTGTTGATATCAATTAAATATTAATTTCAATGCAATATGTTATTATTAATCGCACAAAGTTTATGTTATAATGTATGTCATGATTTAGTATTATTATTTAATTACAAATAAATTACTTACCGGTAATGAATTAAATTTTGATCGGTAATTGGATTATACAGTATTTTTATAATACAGTTTAATATCTAAAAAAGTATTGTAATTTAATTTTGTAGATTAACAAAAAATATAATATTAAAATTTACTAATAAATATTATCTCTGATTTTGTAATTAAAATGACTCAACATTATTGGAAATTTGTATAAATAAATATTTAAAGATCTATCAACTGTTGATTAAATATTACCGGTAATTGTTATATATTGTGTCTTAAATAGAAATTTATAATAAATTCATAATAACTAAAAATGATTTGAACTGATAATTAGAATTATCATAAATTCAATACATTTTTATACATCAAATCACTATAAGCATGAGTGGGTGGCAAAGATATAATTGTTTTGTGAGTTTGAAAATCAAATTATATTTCATATAAATTGATACTGTGCTATACTATACAGTATATAGTATTTTATATAATAAGTTACAGTAAACTACCAGTGCTATTGCATAATAACTTATTTATACTGAAATTGTATTGTATTTTATATACAAGTCATTTATCAAAATTTATTATTACTGTCATTGATAAGGGAGGCAAACAATTAATTGATTTAAGCAATAGATTAATATAACTTATATACACTGTATTTCATACTAAATATATACTGTATATACAATACATTAGATATATGAGAACCAGTTCCCACACAATGACATATTCTATGGTATATTTGCAGTCAATTTGTTTCAATTAATTATAATTAATGCATTTATAAAAATATATTAGTTAGATATATGGTATATAGTTACAAATTTATAATATATATTTAATTAACATTTAGATAATGGTATAAAAATAATTTAATATACATTTTTATATTTTTTTATATACTGTATTAGATATATTTTTTATATGAAAACTAATAATAAAATGTTATTGTATTACTTTTATTTATAATAACAATTTTATTATAAAACAAATTATGTGATTATGAAAATAATTTTTATTAATCAGTATAACCTAACGTAACAAATACCGTATAAAAAATAATTGAGATAATAATATCGTTATATTATTTATAATAACAAAATAAAATATTTTATACGATAAATCTTCTTTAATAAGTTTATCTATAGACGGAAAATATTAATTCAATTTATACAATGAGTCAATAATAATAAATTTTATTAAATAATTTTTTTAATTTAACCAAAAGACTCGGGTCGTGGAGTTAGACACTTAAAAATTTTAGGAAACAGTAGTTTACAAAAAAAAGAGTCAATTTTTAAACATTTATCTAATTTGTCTAACAATTGATTGAATTATAGTTTTTTAAAAGTCCAAAAAAGTGACGTTATTTTTATACTGATTTAAAATATAGATTTCAATATACAGTATATTCTATGGTATTATTGAGTGAAAGTGTAAACATAACAACACATTGAATGTCAATAATAATAATAAATAGCGTTATAATTGTCAGACAAACAGCTATTTATTTAAATGTTTTTTTTATTAATAATAATAATTATTATTATGTGAATCAAAGTTAATAACCAAATAATTTATACAAACATGTAATGTAATCATACAATTGGTTTAAATTAATCAATTGTTTTATTTGATTGCAAGTAAATGTGATTTTTGGCACTATTTTGATGCCAACCAATGGTATGACAAACCAGTGTTTAATTGCAATCAAAATAATGTTTTTTCACTACATTTATAATAATTATAATAATAATAACCATTAAAATAATGTTTACTTTTTATGTTTTGAAGCACTTTATTATTGATAACGTTATGTGAAAAATATATATTTATTTTGAGATATATTTTATTGAATAATAGTTAAGAAGTTATATAAGTAAGTCATATATAAATTAATAATAATATCATAAAAGTTATAATAATTTTATGACTTATTAAAGGTATTTATAGATAATTAACAAATGAATTGCAATATTGATAAACCCATTGATAGTCACAAACATTATTTGCATTATTTTACAAATAATTTTCATTTTAATGCTTTAAAATATTTTTTGTGTCCATAGTTTGTCATAAAAGTTGTTTTTTGACATAAAATTAGATTATTTTTGATGAAATTGTGTTTACAATAACAGTGAGCTTATTATCCGATTTAATTGATCCATAATTTTGTTATATAATATGTAATTAAATAATAAGTCATTTAATGTTAGTTTAATGACAATAATCTCAACCAAAAAAGTTGTTTTCATTAATATTATAATTAAGTTTAAAACCCATATTTGATTTGAAGCCAAAGTTTTTGTTAATTAAAGCTATTTATGAGATAAGAATTTATGTGAAGATTATATAAGATTGTTGTTAAAGACATTAATACTATAGTTGAAGACAATCTCGTTTGATGTGATAATCACTTAGTAATTGGTGTTAAACTTAAGTGATGTCTTCCATATGGGAGTCGTGTTGTCCACCGTTTGGCAGTAAAGTCGACGGCGCCGACAGTGAGTCGAGTATAGCCGAACAGACCCGAAGGTCGAAGAAAATCGACGAAATGCTGGCAAAAGACAAACGACTCATCAGAAAACAAGTAAAACTATTACTTCTTGGCGCCGGAGAGTCAGGAAAGTCAACATTTCTGAAGCAAATGAAGATAATTCACGGCCAGAGTTTGATTGACGACACGAATACTGTTGAAGAATATAAAGAAGTGATTTATTCTAATATTATTAAAGGTATGAAAGTGTTGATTGACGCCCGTCTCAAACTAGACATCGATTGGGGCCGAGAGGCCAACGCCACTCACGCCGACTATGTGTTCGCTTTTGATAACAGACTTAACATAACTGATCACATCTTTAGACAATACGCTGACACTATTCGTCAGCTTTGGACCGATGAAGGCATTCGTCATGCATTTGACAGAAGAATTGAATTTCAATTAGTAATTAATATTTTATTTGTTTTTTTTATTTAAATACAAATACTTAAGATATTTAATGACTAATTTGTTTGGTATTTGTCTCACAACAGAGTGACGGCGTTCGCTACCTCTTCGACAACATTGAACGTATCGGTACTGAGGGTTATGTGCCAACAAATAGTGATATATTACACTCTCGAAAGGCCACTAAAGGAATCACTGAATACTGTGTGACCATCAATAAGATACCGTTCCGTTTTGTCGACGTTGGCGGCCAACGATCGCAACGACAGAAATGGTTTCAATGTTTCGAATCAGTGACGAGTATATTGTTTATTGTGTCTTCATCTGAATACGATCAGGTGCTGCTCGAAGACAGACAGAAGAACCGACTCCAAGAGTCGCAAAATATATTCGACACAATTGTCAACAATCGGTGTTTCTCTGAAGTGTCTTATATTCTGTTTCTTAATAAAACCGATTTATTAGAAGAAAAGCTCAAATTAGTGAAACTGTTGATACAAAACACAGATAACCGGTCATCACGACGACACCGGTGCGAATCAGTCAACGGTGCGAATAGCAATACAAACTCAATGAATATGGAATTACTTCATGAAAACCAAAATAAACTAATGAATTCAAATAATTATAATTGTGTGACAAACCAAGCGATCGACTATTACTTTTCCGACTTCACTGGTGATCCCACCGATCTGTTAACTGTTCAGTCATTTATTTTGCATTTGTTTGAATGCGTCCGACGCGACAAACGAAAGCAAATGTATCATCACTTCACTACTGCCGTCGACACAGAAAACATTAAATATGTCTTCAATGCCGTCAGGAATACAATACTTCAAAATAATATCAAACAACTTATGTTACAATAGTTGTCCTCATTTTGTTGTCTTTCATTTATTGTCAACATTGCCTGCAAATGTTTTACATAATTTAGGGCCAAATTTATCTATTTTTACAATTTTAAAAATAAATATTGTATTAATTAAATTCATTCCCTTTACTTAATTTGTAATTATGGTGTATTTTGACAACTAATGGACTCAATTTTATTGATTTAACTAAAGTTATGCCTATTTTGTGGCAACTCTACGCATAATTCATCCAAATTTCTATTAGTCTATTGAAATTAACTATTTTTATTAATTTTGATTAAGATTATTATAATTTTAAGTAAATTATATTTGTAATTATAAATGATTTATCATACATAACGTAGATTATATTTGTAATAAATTTATGTATAATAATGAGGTGCTTTAGTAATATTTAGATAGACAAACACAATGTTTAATTATAATTACGGTAATGTTAAAAAAGCTATTAAGATATTTACAATATTACTATTATATATTACAAATATTATTACAATTTTATTATACAGTATCAATTGTTATACAGATTGTGTAATGCTTTTATTTAGTTATATTAGTCAATGACTATTACGTGATTTTTAAATATCAAAATGATTTCACAAATTAGATATGCATTTTATGTTGCATTTATAAGAAAGATTATATATAAAATTGTTTATTATTTTATATTATTATTAATTGATTGTAAATAATTTAAATTTTATATGAAGTAAAAATGTTATAAATAAATAACTAGAGTTTAGAAATAATAATCAAATTGTAAATAATTGTTAGATTAATAAATGAGATACGATTTATTACGTGTATTATTACGGTAATCACCTCTCGATAACTATTGCCATAATTATTCAATAATATTCAAGATATGGTAAAAAAAATTAGTTGTATTAATAAAATGATCAATTTATTAATAATAAGGAATCAAGTTTGTAATTAATTGAAAACATAATTTATTTTTAAAAATAACCATGGCCTTAAATATATGCACAGTTCACATGTAAATCCCATTTTATTGGGAAATACATTACGGGAATTACAGTACAATCTGGTGTACATTTTGTGATCATTGGGGATCACACTTTACAATCATTGCAATACATATCTTTTTTTTAATTATGTTAATAAGATAAAGAGCACTGGTAGTAATTGACAAAATAGTTTATATTAGCACACAAACGGCCAAATTCTTTAATATAGTTTGATGTCAGAAAATAATACAAAAAATGCGAAAAAATAAACAATCAATTTGTATAAGTATTTAGTATTTATAATAATATATTATATGTCATATAATGTGAACATCAATACGTAAAACTTGTTTGTGATACTCTATGATTATAAAATATTTTTTTTTATACAAATTTATCATTTTAGAAAGTACATCATTATATGTTTGTATGACAATAAACTTTAATAAAACAATGATTTTAAATATTAAGTTTAAAATGAGTTACCCATTGATTGATATTAAAAATAAAATAAAACTCCACTAAAACAATACAAATTGTACCGAAAGGCAGATATAATTGTCTTATCCAAAAATTTTAAGTTCAGTCAATTAATTTATATTAAATTGATAGTCTATAGAAATATTTATACCGATAATAGAGTATAAATATAAAGTACTTATTGTCTTATTTAAGATATTTTGTAATCTACCAGTGCTCTCCATACAAATGTAATATTTTTTGTAAAATTATGATTTATACAGTATTTAAATTGTTGTTAATTTGAATGTTTTTCAGACAATTATTTTTTGGTATTTGTGGTAACAGTTGTGATGACTTTGTCAAGAATATTGTTGATCCGTTGCTTCTCATCGTTTGGTAATTCAAACTCGTCTTTAATAAGTTTGTTGAGCGTTATGTTTGTTAGTATACATTCAAAGTCAGTGACATCAAAGAAGTCCGGAACGTAAACCAATGGATTCTTGTCGTTATTAAACCATTGGATTTTGAATTTACGGCTATTTTTAAACACATTTTGTTTGGCTTTACATATATAATAGCCGTTTGTTTCGTTACGAACGGCGAGAAACTCATTCTTATTATAAATAACTTCATTCTTCTCGTCGTCTTTTATCTCTTTTTTAACCGTTTTTTCCTTATTTTCTTTCTTAACCAATAAACCAGACGTTGACGGCTGAACTGGTATTAAAGGTTCGGGCGATTGAAATGGTTGGTGTTGTAGACGAATCCGTTTTGAAGAACGGGAATCATTTCGGCCACTAGACGTCTTTGTTGGTGTTAATCCATCGACTGTTTGTTTCGGTGTCTTTACCTCTACTTTAGTGTCGGATCTCGACTCACGCTTACGTTTCTCTGACTTTTTCTCAACTTTTGACACAACATTTACTTCTAATAAAACAACAAAACAATAATAATTAATATCATAAATAATTAAAATAGAAATAATTATATTTAAATATTATCAGAAAGTAAATAAAATCAGAGAAATTCATTCCCATATCCGCTATAAGTTTTCATCACTCAATTATAATAAATATCTACTAAATAAAATAAAATACTTTTAGGCGTGGGTTTAGTTATAACGGTTGATTTAGGGGTGGGCGATACGATAGGTGGTGTCTTATTAGCTGTGGATCGGATTGATTTGCGGACCGCAACCTGAGTGCCACCGTTACGATTAAGTGGCGACACTTTTCCTGTATTGGGTTTTTCTTTAGTCTTTAACTGAATACTATTTCGCGGTTTTTCTTTTGATACTGACTGTCCACTTGACGTTATTTTACTGGCACTGCGTTTTGTTTTTCTTAAAATTATTGGCGTTTTGGAAGTTTTCGGTTTAGGCGTAGAAACCGAAATACTTTTTTGTGGAGTACTTGTAGTAGCTTTCGGTAAATCTTTATTTGAAGACTTACTTTTATTATTATTATTAGTTGTATTATTGTTATCATCATTACTATTGAGACTCTTTCTAATATGACAGTGCTTTTTGAGCAATTCTTTTTCCTCGTCTTTCCCAACTATAGAGACATCCACTCCATCGGCGGTCACTTTAAGGGCATCACCTTTTTTGTTGACGCCTTTCTCAATATTGATGGCTCGCTCGAGTATGTTTTGAATCCGTTGCTTTTCATCGTCAGGTAACTCAAAATCGTCTTTATTTAATCGATTAAGCGATAGATTTGTAAGAATACATTCAAAATTAGTCACATCGTAGAAGTCTCCGACATATATCAGAGGATTCTTGTCGTTATTAAACCATTGAATCTTAAACTTATGGCTGTTATAAAATACATTTTGTTTGGCCCGACATATATAATAGCCATTAGTTTCATTACGAACTGCAAGAAACTCATTCTTCTTGTAGATGACAACTCTTTTATCGTCTTCTTTCTTATGGTGCAATCGCGGTGTTGGTCTGAACAATGGTGGAACTAATAACAGCGGTTCCGGTGACTGAAATGGTTGGTGTTGAAGACGAACCCTTTTCGAGTAACGAGATTCATCTGAATTGCCGCTATTGTCCGCCACCGATGAGCCACTGGCTGACGATTTCACGGTTTTTGACTCTATTTTACGTTTTGGTCGCTTTGTATCCACTTTTGATGCACTATTAGCTTCTGATTTTAAAAAAGAAAGAACTAATTAATTAATAATGATTACGAGATATTCATTAGAAGTCTATAATTTAAATGCAATCAGAATTAATATAAAATCAATGAAATTCATTCCCATATCCGCTAAATGTTTTCATCATTCAAATAGTATACAGTATATGATATTATCGGTAATTCATAGAAATTTTATTATACCTTCTCTTGACTTTTGTGCGGCCAAAAAGTTTGCTTTAAGTATAGGTGTCGGTTGACTTTTGGTGGCCCGAACTAGACTGTCACTTGTATATTGCTTAGGAATGGGTGATGACGGGGACCGCTTATGCGCCAATACTAATGGCTGATCTTTACTAATGGCTTTATTTGGTGATGAGATTAATGATGCGATTCCTGTCGTTGGCTTAATAGTGATTGCTGAAGATGTGGTTGGGGTCGGTGCCACCGATTTTGCTAAGGACATCACTGTTGTAGATGATGTTAATGTTATTGTTGGTGTTGGTAGTGTCGACGGTACAGACAGAACCATCGTTGTTGTCGTTGTCGTCACATTTGGTGCTTTCGTCAAACTCTTCGATGGCGTCGCTGTTATTGGTGTTGTTGTCAACGCTACAGATGTTTTCGAAGGTAACGATGTAGTTAGTGATGACGAAGCTGTCGTTGTTTTCGGTAATACCGGTGCTGCCGACGCTCTCTGTGATGCAGATATCGATGCTTTAGAATTTGCTGATGTTATTGATGACAACGCTGTTGTCGGGGTTAGCGAAGTAACTGTTGTTATTGTTGGTGGTGTAGATAATATTGGGATAGTTGTCAATGTCTTTGTTGGTGATAGAGTTGTGGTTGCTATTGTTGGTGATGTTTTTATTGTATTGTTTTGTGATGAGTTTGATGTGCTATTTTGAGATGATTTGATCGTTTCTTTGTTCAAATCATTGTTTTGAATTTTCTTTTGGTCGACGGGTGTTATATTATTTTGTTGCGTTTTGTCTTCACTTTTTGATAAATTAGTCGCTAATGTTGTTGTTGTCTGAGGAATGACTGGCGGCTGTGTTTCCACAGCAGTTGACTCTTCAGAGTCTTGACTATCTGTCGATTGGCGACTATCTGTTGGCGGCAATGGTGTCCCATCCGACACATCATTAGTCTTAGGGATAGCTATTACCGATTGACTTGTGACTGACATATCACTTGTCACATCTTTTATATCTGTTTTGGTGCTATTGTTATCCTAAATATAAAAACATATTAATTAACAAATATTATAAATCTATAATATTTACAGTTCCGCCATTGGTTGTGACATTAGTGGTCGATACACTTTTCTGGCCAACTTTGTTATCATTGGTGGCCGGAGTCGGCTTCTCTGTTAAATGATTATTATCTTCAATATTAGTTGAAGTCTTGTTTTCACTATTAATATTGTTTTGTTGTGTCGTTTCATCTGTTTTTGTCAAATCTTGTGTTACAGAAGTTTTGGTAACATCTGATGATTGAGTGTCTGCTGTGGACAACTCATCTTTATTAGTGGTCACTGATGTGTCATCAAGTTTGGCATCGGATGTTGACTTGCTATTAGTTGAAACATCACTTGCTATTGATTCGTTGACATTTGATTTTATGGGTATTTTGCTATCCTATTATAAATTGTAAATCAAATTAAATATAATTTCTAAAATAATAATCAAAATAAATATCATTTACGGAAACATTGCTTTCATTGGAATGATATCCCGATATTAAACCATTGGTTTCCACTTTTGGCGCATCCATTGATCTGAATATTATATTTAATATTATTTTTATTAAAATAATGCCATAATATATAAATATAAACTATAAATTCAGTTTATGATTATGCAAAATAATAGCAATCAATGCAATTATATAATATATCTCAGACATTAAGATAATATATTAGGTTAATAATTGTCACTAAAACTATTTTTTATATGATATATGTTTATAATATGTATTTTATGCAATAAATATAAAAATACAATTTTAAATGAAATTATTTATAATAATTTTAAAGCATATTATACTTTAGAAATTTGTAAATTGAAATCAAATAATTAATATATTAAATAATCGTATTTTTTGTATAAAGTTATAAAATTTATTATATAATATTTAATTACATAATATTAGTTATAAAAGGATAAATACTTTGCATTGCTTTAATATTAGAGTATTTAAATCAAATAAATACTGTATACCTTATAATATATAAAGATTTATATGAATGCAATCAATTAAGCGTTCATTTAATATAATATTCACTCATTGATTGATTCATTAACTGAAATGCATTTTTATGGTCCAAAAGCGTAAGCAAAATGAATGGATTGTAAGGTTTTTTATGTATGCAATCAATGGCTTATATGTATTGAAAACTGAAATAAGACTTACTTTTCATGCTTTTCAACGGAAACACTTCGTTTGGATATAATTTGTCTCTTTTTCGGCATTTTTTAAAATCAATTATATTTGACAAAAATGTCAATTTCTATAACAATTTAATAATAGTTGTCTTTAGTGACCAAATATCTAAATACCATATAATATCAGCAAACAATTCAATGACTAATTATATAGTCATAACTTATGTGTATTTCATATATGATAATATGTATAATCAGGCAATCGATAAGTTTATATAACAATTTCAGATCAAATATATTTGTAAATCCATTCAATAATCTAGTAATTTGTTGCTATAATACTTTATAAACCATATAATCACTAAAAATAAAAACCAAAAAATATTAATAGAGAAACAAAATTATATAAATACTATATTATATAATTTAAATTAATAAAATTAAAAAAAAACAATTTAAAATAATTGCAAAAATGATGAAAAATATAAATGTATTTCTTTAATAAATTGCTTAACATATAATTAATAGTTAATTATAATATCATATCATATAATATGATATATAAATGCTTTAATAATAGAAAATCTTTGTATTTATTCATCAATAAACAGATGTATAAAAAAGATTTTGCATTCAAATCATAAATATTGATAATCAATATAATAATAATAATAAACATTATATTCATATATAATATTAATTGCGGTTATATTTTTCATGTCATTACTATAAATTTATTTTCAAAATATGTTATTTATTTAACTATAATATTATTTATGTATTTATTATACATTCAATTTTAGACTTATTGTTTGAATGTCAATATATTATTTAAATTAAATAAACATTTATCAGTATTTTATTTGGCAAACAATAACACGATTACAACTAAAACAATGACAACAATTGAAAGCATTGGCCGCTAATTAAAGCAATAGTTTTTTATAAATCAATAAAAAAATTATTAAAACAATTCAATGAATGAATGCATTGATTACCGAATGTGTGAAAAGTGAGAGCAAATTGAGTGCTAAATATTGACTCAAAAATCGAGACTTCAATTGACATACAATTAGATACCGAAAACCAATGTATGTATCGATGACTACATTGACATCACTGGACAATAATAATCACTGTTTGGGTTAATAGTGTCGAAACAAACACTAATTGAATGCAATTTAATGCTATTTTTTGGATTACGAATCACTGTTTGTATCCATAAAACCAGTGCTTCAGTACTCTGACAGACATTTTGCGAATACAGAGACTCTACTAAACAATACATTGACAACACATATAACAGTACTGTATATATATGTATAATACACACACCCTTTCCCCCGGTATCACACTATCTATGCTATACATACATACTGTCTATGCCTTACACACACCAAACCTATAGACTGAACCAACACTTAGTTTAAGTGACGTCACAACTAATATATTAGTTCAACAAAATGTGTGTCAAATGTTTAGATGTTTTCTATTGAATATTTGTTTGACGTATAGAAACAACTATTCAAATAAAACGTTACAACATTTGCTTTCATATAATCAAATCAATTATACATTGAATTCTATGAAAACATTATTATTATACAGAATGTAATAAATGTTAGCAATAGTACTGTAAAAACTGTTTACTATAGAGTAGTATCAATACTATTAATATTAAATATATTTACAATAGTTTTACTTATAATCAGGGTTTTAAAAATGGCAGGCATTAACAATAGATGCCTATTTTGCCAAATGCCTGCCCTGCCTCTGCCATGCCCTGGGCATCTATTTTCAGGTGGTGACACCTATTATTTTAATTTTATATTATTAATTTATCTATAAAACATTGTTTTATCGATATTTGTTTGTATTTTTATTTTGTATATCTCTACTTAAAAGGTAAAATCATTGGAATTAATTATATTAATTGTAAATTTAATTAACAAGCTAAAAACAGTAAATTACATTATTTTTATAAATTCAGTTGCTTTTTAGCAATTTAATTTGGCAGGCAAATAAAATAGATGCCCAAAATGCCAGGCATTTATGGCATCTATTTGGGCATTGCCAAGGCAGGCATTTATTTCCTTAAAACCCTGCTTATAATACAACATAAATGACATCTTGTGGTTCACATTTCAACTATATATTCGTTATTTAAATATGTATTCATTAATACTGTATTTATTGTAAAATCAATTATAATTTATAAATAATAATTAAAAATATGATATATTTTTATGAATTACTAATAAATAATTAATAAATAAAATTAATAAATAATTATAATAGAAAATTACTATATTTTAAAGTAATGTATTAATACTGTATTAATAGAAGTAAGTTAACATTATACAGAATATGTACAATAATATATAAAAATTTAAATGTGTTGAATAATTAATTTGTTGAATTGTTAGATTATTAATTTATTATTTATGCTAACATATTATTAAGATTGTTATTTAATATATTAATTCTATAAAATATATTTAAAAATAAATTAATATATAATATTAAATATGATATATACCCTATATTATTTTATAAGTAAACAATTATAAATAGCTTTTATACAATAGATTGTATTATTAACTATTTACAATCGTTTTCAACAAATAATAGGAAAACTATATACAGTATATATTTTAAAACATATTTTAATCTCATTTTGTTTTATTTAACTTTAATAAGTCTTTATTTAACTAAATATTAGATTTTTGATTCAAGTCTTATTAAAAGTTTTATCTGATTTATACATAAGATTATCAAATAAAATAATATACTAAATATTTTTATCAATTATTAAATAAACAAATGGCATGCGTTATAACTTTAAAAAGCTTATAATATAGTATAAACTATTCTGTAATAGAAATCAATTAATAATTTTATTGTACAAATTCATACAAAGTTTATTTCTTGAATGATTAGAAAGTAAAAATACTTAATAGAAATTTATATATATATACAGTATATTTTCATATAATTTAAAATCAATTGTTTTTTATAAAACAATGATTGACCAATACACCAAACTCAACCATAAAATTTTTCTCTAAATTGTTAGGCTAACGCTAATTAATTAATTTGATAAATTATTTATATAAACACTTAAATCAAGTTTTTTATAAGATATGCTAGAAAAACAAACTTAATTATAGTTTAATGAATTTTAAAATCTACAATTAACTATTATTTGTGAGAACATATTTTGCGTATTTAAATTTACCACAATTATTTGTAGGCTATATATAAGTAAATATTAGTATATATACATTATATATACAGTATATATACAGTATATATACAGTATATATACAGTATATATATATGATATATATCAAAATTGTTAGTATGCTAATATACAAAACTTTAATTTTATAAAGAATATTGAATATATGAATTAGAGTGAAAATTTTAGAAACTTTATATAAAAAAAAACATCAACCCATTGACGTGAAATAATTAATCAAATTATGATATATAAACTTTGTATCATGGTGTATTTAATATTGTTAAATGTTTGAAATGGACTGCTTATTATCAAAATTGTCAAAAAAAATTATGACAAACATAAATATGTGTAAAATCCCATTTACCAACAAAAATATATATAATATAATACGATAGTGGCAAGGGTGCTTATATTTTATTTAAAGTTAATTAACTAAATAAAAGTTTCAATTAAATTGATTTAATAAATTTTATTAACTTTTATTTTCTACATATTCATAATGTAATCATCTTATAGTAATAGAAATTGTATTCAAACTGTTGAACATTTGATGCGTTAAACGCATGCTTTAAATAGTATGTTATATAATACTGTATATAACTTAAGTATAAATAAATAAATGAGTCGTGAGTGTTAACATATGGCGCCTCTACTGTATATTTATAGCTATTTTGTTAAAAAATTAATTAAATTGTATCAATTGTGTGCTTGATATTAAACTAAAGTAACTCAAAATGTAAATAAAAATATAAAAAATCAATTATATTGAGAAAAATTGAATTTTTATTTATTTATTCGTATGTTTTTTTGTTATGATATCTTGCATACAATGACTAAGCTTTGGGGTATTTTTAAAATAATACAAACAATGATATACTGAATATTAAGGAAACAAAATTTGAGTGCATTTACAGTAAAATAACTATTATATTATACAAGTTTTTAGTTTAAATGTCTGTTAATGTTATATAACATGACGTAAAATTTAGCGATTGAACTATCAATAGCTTGTATTGAAATGTTTAAATCGACTGAAAATTGAAAAATGTTTTCAATGATTATATTAATAATGTTTTATTTAGTTGTCTTAACATTTCTACTGTCAATAGTATGGCTTTCAATCAAATATATGTCTCACAGAAAAATATCGACAAATAAGCGATTGTTTCGCAAACGTCTGAATTCACTCAAAACGAGACTTCAAACAGAGGTCAACACTTGTGTGTTGAATGAAAATCTGACGTTCACTACATATGCCGGTGCACTGACCAGTGATGGACAGAACCCACATAAGCACCGGTCGCTAACTATACTGTTTTGTTGGATGTTTGCAAAGGACAGACATATCGATAAGTATCGCAAACTATATCTCAATAAAGGTTTCGATGTATTGACTGTTAAAACAAAAGTTTTGGACAGTCTATTGCCAACAGTGGGCGCACAGGTAGTCGCATACTATGTGGTGGACTTTCTACGAGTACTGGGAGATAGATATGATTCGTATGTATTTCAGATGTTTTCAATCGGCGCCTATCAGATGGGAGAAGTGTTGGTCCATTTAGACAGACCAGAAAATCAAGATGTTTTGCTTCAAACAAGACAATCATTGAAGGGTTATGTCATGGATTCAGTGATGGATGTGCCGACGGCCCACATAGGTCTGGCCAGAGCGTCGACAACCAACCTATTATTACAAACATTGATATCAAACTCAATGAACTTATATATGCATTTGTTTAGCAATTCTGTGACCAAACACTACACCAATTCCTCAAATAGTATTCACAGAAATGATTTGCAATGTCCGGGACTTTTCCTCTTCTCCAGTGATGATGTTGTGGCCGATCCTAACGGTCAATATCTAGTGATGAATAAATGGCAATCAAATGGTGTACCAGTGTTTCACAAGTGTTGGCAAAGTTCAGCACATGTTAGCCATTATTTCAAATATGCCGATCAATATGAACAACATTTAAATGATTTCTTAAAATATTGTAAACTTTATTAACAAATTTTTTATATATTGTTTTGTTGTATGGTTTGATGTTTTATTGCCGTTTTTTAAATAACCATATGGTTATAATGTTTATACTCTACTTTTACCTGTAATATTAGTTAGATTTTATGAAAATTTATAATCAATAAATAAATAAATAATAGAAAATTTATTACAAATTTTATACATTTAAAATGTGTTTTTTATTTATTTTTGTCGGTCAATTATGATCACAATTAATTAATTACCAGTACTTTATATAATTTTTAAATCATAGATTAATTACAGTATTTTTTTGGATAATAGCTTTTTCACAAACAAAATGAAATAATATTTAAATATATAAATAATACAATTTATAGATTATAAATGCCTAACTTTTATTTAACTGAAACTTAAAATTTAATAACTTGAAATCAATTGGTATGTATTCCTATCTTTAAATAATAATTTAATATTATTCTTATAATAGCAACGATAATTGTTTTTATTTTATTATATTGACAGTACTCTATATACTGAAAATAAATTATACAATTATACAGTAATTTGTTTGCAACTTACCTTTTCTTAGACTATTTTAATTATCTAATACATAGATTTGAATACAAGTTTTAAATTAAATACAGTAATTAAGATAATTAATTAAATAATAATTAATATAAAGTATTTAAATTATCCATTAATAGATTGCAGTAAATTAGTTTGTATTTGATAAATTATGTATTTCCTGATAAAAATACGTTTAATATTTAATTGATAAAAAATTATTTAAAAAAATACAATGAAATCTTCTTTTAAAAATTACATTTCATACAATTTAAACATTCATTTGGTTTAAATCATTTACAATATTAAGTGTAAGCCATGAATATAACACAAATAGATAAAGTTGTTGACAACTTTCTTGTGTCCAAATTTGGAGAGATTGTTGGTACCGATTCTTTTATATATTATTGGGGTTATGAGTTTTGGGAAAATGGTGCCGATCCCCGATCTCAGGACTATTTTTTGGTCGGCATATCTCACATTGGTTTTCAAGCTATCATAGCTCTCTATTTGGCAACTGTATTTATACTGATACCTGAATTTATGAGAAAAAAACGGCCCTATACTCTAACTAAAGCTATGCTATTTTATAATGTATTTCTGGTAAGTTTTAAAAAAATAGTATTATTAGCACAAAATGCAACACTTAATTTATAAATGTATTTATTTGATGACACATTTTTTCAAAAAAAAAAAGGTTATAATAAACGCCTATTTCTGTTTACGAGTATTAATATTTACGACAAACTTTGGTCGCGAAATGTGGAACTTTACGAACCCGAAGAACGACACGTCCGAGAAGGCCATGGATTTTATAGACGTTGCCTATTGGTACTACATCTCGAAAATTGTTGACTTTTTTGATACATTTTTCATGGCTTTCAAAAAGAAAAATTCTCAAATAACAGTTCTACATATATGGCATCACATGTCAATGGTCGGCGCCGGTTGGATGTATATGAAATATAATCCATGTAAATAATACAAAATAATGTTATCTAATTGGATATTAACATAATCATAATATCTTCTATCTTTCCAGATATGCCTACCTGTGCTATTATACCCATCGTAAATGGTTTTATTCATGTGGTTATGTATGGCTATTATGCATTGGCATCATTAGGTCCAAAGTATCAGAAGTATCTCTGGTGGAAGAAATACATCACTCAAATACAATTGTTTCAGTTTATTATTCATGTGATTTGGTTTTCAATAGTCACAATCAAACAGACAGATATGCCATTGGGTTATTTGGTCGCAAATCTCGGCAATGCTATCGCACTGTTCTCTCTATTCATGAACTTCTATCTAAAAGCTTATTTCAAAAATAAGAAATTAGTCAAAAAGGATTAATTTTATTGTAATTTTTACCAATATATTTGTAATGATTTTATTTTTTTATTATTTTTTTTGTGACTAAATAAAATAATTAATATATTTTGAGATAATTAAAAAAATGTCGATTTAATTATTATAAATTAAAATGAATTGTCTACAGTATTTAGATACAGTATGATAACAATATAATATAATATATTGAATAATTGTATTGTATTATTAGTATTTAAATAAATATATTATAATATTGAATATTGACCCATTATATACACGATATACAGCATATATAATATAATATAAAATGTTTTTTTTTTTGATGAATGAATTGGCCAAAACTGGAAACTAATGGATAAGTTCAAAACAAGTGCGTCGACCATCAATGTCACAACTAATGGCAAATTTGTAAATATTAAAGTTATTAATATGTATTTTATTTAGGCTAACAATTCAATGGTTCGACAAAATGCATGGGCACTACAAACAAAATGCATAATAATCTATTAGATTTAGTCAATTATGAGAAATTAAAATCAGTTCTAAAATAAATAAAAATGTAAAATTAGAAACAAAGTTTTAAAAAATTATAATATTAAAGTATTAGTTTGAAATTCAAATTGTAAATATTAAAGTTTACTCTTAGTTTAATATATTTTATAAACGAATAAATATAAATCTATTACACTATTTGGCTAAATATAAAATTGATATAATAATAACTAGATAGTAATCATTTTTTAATATTACTGTTAAATAATAAGTTATTTTACATTGTTTTATATAGTCTATAAATTAAATTTTATAGATGTTGATAATATTTTGATTAACATAAAAAACACTTACAATTATTAATGCATGTGAATGCTGCAAATGCTGTAAATTTAATATAAAATATTTTCTAATAACATAACATTACACATAATTTACAGTACATATACCAAACATACAGTATATGTCAAGAATATCATATTTATAAATTCTTTAATTTAATTTTTTTAAATATGAATTTTAATATCAAATTTGAAAGATGAATATTTAAATTTTAAATTAAATATGTCTTTTTTGCACAAATAAGTAAACATACATATATTATATTTTAAAAAATTTATTTTATTATTTTTTAGTTTACTATTCAATTCAATCATAAATTTTAATTAATAATTATTTTTAATATATATATTGCCAAATAAACATAGTAGTATAAAAGTAATACTATTTATATAAATATATATTATATAAATTTATAATGAATATAGAGATAAAATAAAATTGTTTAAATGGAAATTAATTCATTATTAAAATCAAATTCATTTTCCATATTTTTTGTTTTTTTCCTCATATCTTTGATCCATTGATTTTTATATTCTACATCTAAAATATATAAATAGTTAGTAAATTATTTGTAATTAAAATTATAATAAAATAGATTTGATTACATAAGGAGTCGTCAACACGTTGTTTATCACTTGAGACTCCTATATGTCTGAGCGCCGCATAAGCTCTGATGTGAACAAAGTTTTCATTGACATAACCACTGAAGTCGTGAAGACATTTGTTGATCCATTGTTTGGCTTCAGTGGTATTGTTGAGCTCCATCTCAACTAATCCCATCTCAAAGACCGCCTGCGGTGGGATTGATGTCTCTCTTTGGAAGCGATCAGTACTAGTATTTGATATAAACAATCAAAAAACATTGTTTGAAAATAACAATAATTTAACAAATATAATACAAACTCATCAATAATAGTTGTCAAACATTTTTTGCATTCGTCATATTCACCCAAAAATTTATGAATTACTGCCTTATAAAACAATGCCGTCAAATAATTATCCAAATAGTCTTTAGTTTCTATATTTTTAAAAATAAAATTAATTATTTAGTAATAATAAACTAATATAAAATAATAAAAATAAATAATAATACTTAAATCGTTTGAATAAATGCTTATCTGATGTTTTACTCGATCCATAAATCTATTCAAATATATTGGTTTATCTTTGATTAACTGAAATAGATTTGCTTGGTATAAAATTTCCTAAAATTATATAAAAATAATGTTAATTACTAATTTTATTTAAATTAATTTATTATAAAGTAATACCATATCTGGTAATACGGGACAGTTATCTTTGTCTCGAAATTTCTCTGCACTTAATACCGATGCCTTTTCAAAGGTCGCTGATTTACCAAAATATCGGACGCGAACTGTCGGCACAATTCTTAATATTTAACAATCATTATTGAAAACAATTTAAAAAAAAAAATTATTAATTAATTTAAAACTAATGACTTACTCAAGAAGTTTAATCGCTGTTTCCAATTCTTGTGTATTGTTTTCTTCTTTTCCAATGACATATCTGACGACTGCCTCACAATAAGTGGTAAAAGCGGGCGATTGTCGGCTTCCTTTGCGTATAAGTTCCGCATATTTAACGCTTTCATTGAAATTACAGATCAATGCATTGCTAAACATGAGTTCAAAGTGAAACCATTTTAACGACACATCAAATGAGTAGTCAGTAATTAATTTTGTATAGTATTTGATGGCTTCTTCCAAATCTCCTCTTAATTGTATGTATTTGGCGTCGACTGTCATAAATACAACTGACTAAACAATTAAAATTAATTTTTAATTATTCTATTATAATATATTAAATAATAAACAACAGTATAATTACATTACTATAAACATTAAGATTTTCCTTTAAAATCATTTGACAATCGATAGAGTTTTTAGACTGAAATCCCATATATGGCTCAATATAGACATTGTTAACAATGAGAAACATTTGGGCCAATTTATTGCACATCCCATCAAACATGAATGCAGTCCTATTGATTTGAATGAAGCCTACCGTCTCAGATCCGTTAACACCCAGTAAATTGATTATCCGTAACAATTTTGGTGGCATATAACTAATAAACAAATGCGATAAACCACTTGATAATCGATAGATTGATTCATAGGAAACTTGCGATAATTTGCTTTCCCATTTGGTCTTTGATTTAAGTATACATTTACCAGCTCTTTGGTTCAATAATTTAAATTAATTTTTAATAAAAAAATTGATAAAACATTATTTTTATCGATTACTTCAATGTATTTATGAATCGTTGTAAACGAAATGCAGTCCGGATTAAGTCGATAATAGTTGTAGTGCCGAGAGCTGACACAAATGCAGACATTAGTGAAGCGATTCCATTGAGAATCTCTGAGTGGGCTTCAGCTGAAAACAATTGATTTTATATTTCATTAAATATTAATTTTATTATTTATATAAATTCTGTTATAAAAATCATTTACAACACAAATTCAACCAAAGACTTACAATCGCTATATTTTTGATAATTTGGAGATTTTATAAAATGCAAAAAAGAGGGTAAGAAACCATTGCTTCGGTACTGATTCGTCACTTCAGTAAAACTATTGACATCTTCGTGAGCCCTATCAATGTCACACTTTTTTTAATTAACAAAATATAATAATTAGACTTTGATTTTATTTAAACTTAAAATTGATTTTTTATTTAGTCAAACCTTATCCATTGTAGATCCAGCAATAGCACAGCTATGGATTGCTTTTATCCAATTATGATATAAACTTGTTTTCAAAACATTTTCGTCAATTTCAAGTGTATTTGTTTTAATCAATTGATGAAAACATTCATTTGCAGATTTTATTGATTCAGTTATCTCAGACATAATAATAAAATATATTTTACTTATGAATTATATAACTTTAACTAAGTTATATTTTAAATTTTTATCTATGTCATAAAAATGTACATTTGTTTATAATTTTAAAATATACTAGACAACTTAAGTTATATATATTATATATATCATGATAAATATTATAAAAGTAGTTTATTTTATTTATTAATTAATAATAATTGAATATAATTTAAATAAATATAAACTGCTTAAAATAGTTTAATAATAAATTTTTAATTAGCAATTAATTGTTTTTTAACTATAAGAAAAATTTCAAGGAAATTATAAATAATATATTAACATTATATAATAAGAAAAATAAAATTAAACTTTAATATATTATACATAAATTGACTTAAAAATAATTAACAATTACTGTAACTAAAGTAACATTATTGGATTAGTACAGTACAGTATAATATACAGTATTATAATTCTAAATATTAGAAATAAAATAGAAATTTATTATTATTATCTTTAAAATTTATAGATGTAAATTAACCAGGGTTTTTATTTAAATTAAGTCAATTTAAATAAATAGATGGCGACAGTTAAAATCTTTATTAAACTTTGCAATAATGTACTATACCAGTGATCAAAATTAAACTTTATAAAACAAAATTGTACAAATAACCTAGTACATATTAAATGAGTAAGTGTTTGTTTAACTTACTCATTGTTTGTTATAAATTATAAAAATTACTATTAAATATCTGTTAAATTAGTTATGTTATATATGTATCACAAAGTTATCATGATAACACTTAATTGTGATCACTGTACTATACATTTAAATTTTATTAATTAAACTTTTATTTTTAAGTTTAAAAACAATTTTCAGCACTAATTATTTATTTACTAAATATTATATTAAACACTTGTTTTTTGGAAATGTATTCAAACTAATTTTTAAAAAAATTTTTAAGGAAAATATTGAATAATATTCTTTGAATAATACTTTATTTGTCAATTAGAATAACTATTTTGATTTATAGAGTATTTAATTACTATTTTTCTAACACCTTATTAAATCAAATAAAGTATATATATATATATATTTATATATATAACAATAAATTTTATAATTTTATGTTTAAATAAAATAAAATAATATATTTAGTAGTCTAAATATAATAATATGAGCGGTTTATATTACAAATTATTATATATCTATATTCTTTATGGATAAAATAATAAATTTTAAAAATCTAAATAACAATTAAATTTTTTATATTGTCAAATTTAATGCTGCATGATGAATAATAAATATTAATTTACAAGTTTGCTAAAAAACTAATTTATTATTATTATTTTTATAAGTATAAATAAACATGGAAAAATAACAGGAATAAATGGCAGAAAAAATAATAATTGACAAAAATTAATTGTTATATCTAAATCATGTAAAATATTAATTAATTATTATTTTTTATAATAAAAACAGCATCATTTCCTTAAATTGACATTATAATGAAGTCATCATTAATTAATAATTATAATAAAAATTAACTAAAAAGTATAATGTATCCACAAAAAATTAAAACTAAAAAAATTTATTTAATATATCTAGAATTAGTTTACATTAAATAAAAATATATATTTTTATTAAATGGATTTATTTCAAGACTTTGCACAATATTTCAGATTTTTCTGCGAATTTTTAGGCTTTTCAGGGATTATCTTATCCGTCATATTCCTTGGTCTTCGACTTTTAATATTTTGTTGGAAGCGATACAAGTCGTGGTCATTCAAATGGTGTGGAGAACCGCATACATGGGCTGTCATTACTGGCAGTACTGAAGGTATAGGTCTGTCATATGCTAAACAATTGGCCGCCAAAGGGTATAAACTAATTAATTATTTTACTTAAATTATTCAAAAAATTAACTTAAAATTTTTGATTAAAGATACAACCTTTTGCTAATTAGTCGTAATGAAGATAAGTTAATGAAAGTTAAAGAGCAGATCCAGGATCAGATCAAATGTGTCCGAAAAGTGCGTGTATTGGCCATTGATTTTGATAACAATTCCGATGAAATTTATAACAAAATTGAGGAAGAATTTAATAGTTTAGAAGAAATACATGTTTTGGTGAATAATGTGGGAACTAATTATCCGGGAGAACGACCAGAATATTTGACACAAATACCGAAACTCAATGAAGTGATAATGAGTTTAATTAACGTTAACATCGTTTCGTGTACAAGACTTACATCTCAAGTATTGCCTCGTATGGAGCGCAGGGGTCGGGGAGTTATCATAAACTTGTCGTCTTTTTCGGCACTATTTCCGGTGCCATTATTGACATTATATTCAGCGACCAAAGTGTATGTCGATTATATGTCTCGCGCGCTTCAAGAGGAGTACCGGACACGTGGTATTGTCATACAATCTGTAACACCGTATTATGTGTCCACACATATGACATACAATATGGAGCCGCGATTCTACGCGCCGACACCCGACGATTTTGTACGACAGGCACTCGAAACGGTAGGTCGAGAGGACTCGACCGGCGGCTTCTATGTCCACCGTTTGATTGGTTTGATGTACTTTTGGTTGGGTGTATATTCCCGGTTCATTGGTATTGATTTTAATATAAAACTGGCGTATCGTAGATTGAAAAATATTAGAAATAGAATCATAGAGAAGCAAGGTGAAATTGATGTTAGACTAATCAATAAAAATAATCATAAAAAACATTTAAATGGTATTCACAGTACAAATGTATAATTAGAATTTATTTAAAACATTGTAATGTAATGTAATGTTTACATTTTTATATTTATTAATAAAATTTTTATGGCATACCGTAATAATGTATTGTACTCTATATCATAAATGTTAGAGAATAATATAAAAAATAATTTTAAATAAATAGTTTAGTTATTTATATAAATCTTAGAAAGAAAAATAATTACAATACATTATATAATATTTTTGATAAAAAACATACAGATTATTATTAATTATTCATTTATAAATGGATTAATGATATTATAAATTTTAAAAAAGTCATATTTATGAGAAATATTATTATTTGTAGTTATATTTAAGGAAACAAATTGATTAGTTTAATAGTATAGTAATCAATTAGTAACTAACATAATATATTATTATTATTAATTATTATTTATTTATCTTTAATATGTAAATATATTTTATAACTAAATAAAAAATTATTTTGTATTTTTAATAATAAATTTTGTATTCAATAATTTGTGAGTACTGTATAACATTAATAAAATTTAATATTCATATAATTGAAGCACTTGTTATCAATAAAAAGTTAAACTTATGTTATTGATTCAATATTTCAATAACTTTTAATTTATTCATATAAAGTTGCATATTAAAAAAATATCTGTTAAATAAATCAGAATAATTATGCTAATTAACATTCAAAAAAATTTAAAATTAAAGACCCTATTAATCTGTATATAAATACCTATAATTTATTAAATAAAACAATACAATTAATTATATATTGTTGTAAATTTTAGTTGACATTATTTTTAATATGCTATAAAATTACTACTGTAGTTAGATGTGCTTAAAAAATTGCAAATATTACAAATTTAATATTTATGTTTTAAAAATAAGTTTTAAAAAAACTAATTAAAAAACTAAAAAAACAATGACTTTTAAATATCCTCACTAAACAAACAGTTAACCAATATATTCAATAATAATAATTAGCATATTTAAATATTTAAATATAACTATTGTATGTTAAAAATAAAGTAAGACTGCAATTTATAAATCACATCTTATATATATAAATTTAGTGAACAGTAATTATGTAAATGTATTGATAAAAATAAATGTTTATTACTTTTGTAAATTCTTTTTTATAATAATTTTCCTATTTTAGTAAACAAACAATATTTTCATAAAATTTTTAAATTTAATTTGCAAATTGTTTTTTCTCTACTATTTAGTTTTTTAGTTAATGAATATTTTCAATTAATTTAATATTAAATTTTTGTATTATTATTATTATATTATATCTAAATTATTTATGAGTCATGCAAATGTTAATTCTAAAATATTGACCGTACAAATTAATAACCTTGTTTAATTTAAATGTATGTCATGAGTATATATATATATATATATATATATATATATATATATATATATATATTGTATATTTACAGTAATAATCAAGCATAATGATTTTTTTGAAATTTTATTTATGCAGAAAAAACTTATTAAATCAATCAAATTAGCAAATGTTGCACTTTATTGTAAAAAGCCCTCAGATCTGTTAAAAAAAATTATGTTTTATTATTTGCATTTATATAAATAGTGTCAATTTATGTAATAAAAATAACTATTGAAATGAATGGTAAGGGCATTGATAGGTATGGATGATATAATTAAAAATGAGTATGATGGAAAATCACTGATGACTCATACTAGTAGCTGAACAGGTCGTTTCGATGATCTATAGCCCGGAGCTAAGCGTGTAAAGTACTGTATGTATGTATGTATGTATGTATGTATGTGTTGTGCCTATAATATTAAGGCACAAGAAGGTCGTTACAACAAAATACACTGTTTTTCTGTTAAGAAGTTTTCTAAATTATATATTCAATACAATATTATGCAATATATGCGGCACAGGTATGAACGCAATCGATTGACTCATTCGACTAAAAAAAATAATTGCCTGTCCTGTCAATGGGTAAAATACCTGAAATACAGTATACATCAGTTTTTGGAAATTAATAATTAATAATTTATTTTTATATTCTATATATTATTTTTGCATATTTAATTTCATTAACCTATTTATTTGAATAAACTGCTACGCTTACTTACTGTTCAAATTATAATTACTAAAAAAGTCAAACAAATTTATCAAACTAATATGTATATACACACATAAAACTATACAACATACAAATATATGAGATATTATGTATATAACTTTTACTGTAAGTATTTTAAAAAATAACAAAAGAGTCTATGAGTAATAAAATCTATCAAAAATATTTCTATTAAATATTATTTGATAATAATTACATTTTATTTGTCCATTACTATAGTATATACTCGAAGTTGTATTAGGGATAAAGTGATGCTAAAACCCTGTTTCGTGAAGTAATTGTAATAAAAATTTTTCTAAACAACAATTTCTCTGTAGACTAATAATAATAATATTAATAATAATAACAATAATTTGAAAACTAATAAAAATAATAACTCTGTGAACGAAGTGATTAATTGTGAATTCAAGTAAAACCGAGTTTTCCTCGAAAACATTTAAATAGAGAAACCACTGTTGAAATTACACTTTATTTGTGATTTGTTTTTTGTTTGCTGTTTAAACAAAAAAAATATTTTTGTTTTTAGTATTTAAAAAGCAAATTTATTGAATAGTTGTTTTAAATACTAACTTAACAAATCACTAAATAAGTCAAATAATTTGCATTTTGGTTTAAAGTTTAAATATTTGTATCGAATTTCACTTAAATATCATTTTACTTTTTTGAAACTTTGAAAAAGTTTTCAATACTTAAAACATTTAATTAGTGATGGCTGACGATAATAATAACCCGTAAGTGTTTTTACGATTTATGATAACAGTATTTAAAAAATATATATAATTATAATTTTATTTAAATATATATTTTGTTCAATTTATTTATTAAATTTCAATACTTTAATAATAGCAAACACATCCCATTAGAGGAATCCATACAATCGGCTCATAACTTGTATCTGAAAGTTGTGGCCACAAATGCATTAGAAGAAGGTTTGGTTGAATGCGAGCCATTGGTCTCAAAGAGTTTGTATCATAACTTTCTGAAATGTGTAGGACTTATCATTTTTGCCGTATCGTCGATGAAAAAAGTAATAAAGATATGATAATAATATTAATAATAACAATAATATTAATAAAATGAAATATAATTAATTCAAATAACTTAGGAGGACATCGACAAGGCTGCCGAAGCCGTACAGAGTTTAGGCAAATACACAAATAAATTCCGTAAACACGGACTCCTCATAAGTGCATTAAAAATGGTTAAAACACCCAATTATAACAAATATACCGATTGTATGTCAAATAATTGATTTTAATGTCAAACACATTGTTTTAATAATTTGTTTAAATATTATTATTATTTATAGTGGAGTTGCATGCTGAATTATTGCACGCTTACTATGTGGCAATGAGTGCACTTATATGTGGATTAGAGACCCATACTATTGTCGGTTTAATCAAAGTTGCCTATCGTTTACAAAAATTTTTGAAAAGTTTCAAGTATGTATTCATATGTAAATAATAACTGCTAACAAATAAATAATATACGGTATATATCGTAAATTTTTTACTAACATATATTTTTTTAATATTCAATTTATAGGGGCTGTCGAGTTATATTGAAAAAGCGTAAGACATGGGAAAGTGAGACTTCACGCCTCCATTTTGAGGCCGGAGTTAGATTTGCAAACGGACTAAAAAATCTGACAATCAGTCAAATCCCACCCAAACTATTGCGAGTCATTAATTTTGTGGGTATTAAAGGTCAGGAAAGTGTTGGTATGGAAGACCTGAATAAAGCGGCCTTTGAATTGCCCGGAATTAACTCCCGGTTCGCCAGAATGTTCTTTATTGGCTATTGGCTCTATGGTCAACCTCATGGAGGTCTCGGGCCTAAGAATCTGACAGACTGTGAGGCCATCATCAAGAAAGAAATGGACGAATATCCAAAAGTATGTATCAATTAATTGTTTGTTTTTTTTGTTATTTCCTTAAAGTTATATTTAAGACAATTATTTATTCTGTATTAAATAATTTTAATATTTTTAATTACTCTAATTATATTTAATTATTGCTTTTACTTAAAACACACTAATTAATGGAAATTTTTGCATTAATTGCGATAATAGAAGTAATTTTAATAAGTTTTTAAAATTTACGATTAATTATTTTCTATATTTGTAAACATTTTAAATATATCGTATTTTAAGCGCTAACTAATTAACACTATTGTAGACAAAATAACGGAATTATATGATGACTTTACATTTTACAGAGCGTTATCTATAGAGGATGTTTGGCCAAACTGGATCAGATTAGGGGTGATATTGATGGTTCTATAGCTAAAAATGTTGAATTGCTTAACAACGACTTTGAGCCAATACATAAAGCCGTACACTTTGAGCTGATGTGGTCGCACGCACTCAAAGCCCAATGGGATGAAGCCATCAAATATGCAGAATTGGTTCGTAAGAATACCGAACATTCGCCTACTTATACCACTTATGCCGAAGCAGTCTTCCGATACGTCAAATGTATTGAAGACAATGATGTCAACCAAAAACAAATTGTTACCAAACTTATGGAGTAAGTCATTGATAGGACTGTTATATATATATATATATGAAATATAACTTATTGTTGAACTACTTTTGTTGTTCAATAGAACTATTCCTACTCTTCGTATCCGACATTTGGGTAAAACAATAACTCCCGAAAAAGTTGCCGTCGAGTGTTCGGTCAAATACATGAAAAACAATGAGTTTCTAATCCTTCCCGAAATGGTAGTCAATAAATATTACTGATACCTAAAAAATGCTCATATATTATATTATTTGATTGTATAGGATCTCCTATATCAAGGAAATTGGATACAATTTATTAAGGGTAATGAAGTCTTATTAAACAAACTGTTGGTTCGCGTCGATAAAGAGCTCAAACATTTCCAAAATGACATCGGTTTGTCATAAATATTGATTTTTAATAATTATAATTAGTATAAAATATTTTAGTTAAATTAATTATTGTTTGTTAATAGCGGGCAGCGATCCACTCGACAATTATCTCAGTGCTGTCTTCTATAAGGCTGTTATCATGAGATTATTGGGTAAACATAATGAGGCAAAACAGTTGATCCAAACCATTATTACTAAGTATGTTGTTTTAGTTTAAGGAAATTATTATTAATTATTATTATTATTATTTAGTCAATTGTATAGACATTTTGATATAATTATATGCTATGAGTCATTGATTGATTTGTTTTGATGAGGAAAATTTAGTCTATATTAGTTTTATTGATATATTAAATAAACTATTATAATAATTGCTAGTTTTATATTATACTAAATTAAATATTATACAGTATTGTTTTGTCATAGACGAAGGTCAAAGAAAATTATATAATTTTATAATAGTTATGTTATTATTACAAAATTTATCACAATTAATATTATTCAATGAATTACAAGTCAATGAAAAATGAAAAATAACAAATCTATATCTATATTAGTTTTAATTACGTAAATATCAAAATATAATTAAATTAAATATGATATAAATACATATACAGTAATATATTGTGAAAATAATTGTTAATATAATTGATTTTGACTGAAAATACTAGTGAATCGCGTATTATTAAAGAGAAGTCCATCGCAGCTCAGGCTGTACTCGAGTTAGGTCTGAATGAGTTGGAAACGGGTAATACTGAAGAGTCAAAGAAATGGATCAACAAATGTATCGATAATTATAGCGGATATCTCAATGAAAATTATGTTCATTTGAGAGCCTATTCAGCGCTCAGGGAGATGGGTGTCAGTACTGACAAACAAAAAGAAGATGAAGTCAAACGTATGTCTTATTTGACTTAATTAACTCATAAAATACAATCATTTAATTGTTTTGTTGTTGTTTTCAACAGTTGAAGAATATAAGAAACAATGGCTTAAAGACATTAACATCGAAGAGAAGAATTACGAGACCATTGTTGGCACTGAAGATGAAGTTATTGTCAACTAATTGTAACTCTTTTATAAAATAAATAAATCATAAAATTAGTTTTTATGAACAACTAATTAATATTATTTATATTAATTATTGAATAAGTTTTAATAATTTAATAAATGGTGTTTGGATTAAATAAAAATTGTCTTATTTAAAGATTTTTAATATAATTATTTTAATAAATACATGATAATAATTTAATAATTTAATAATTTGAAAATAAAACATCACAATTCAATTATCTATTACATTATTATTCAAACTGCTTAAACTAAGTTTAAAATAGGAAACAAAAATGATTAAAATATTATTATAACTAACCTATTTGTATAATACATGTAAATTAAATTAGAAACAATACAATTAAGTGAATGAAATAAAAACAAAATAATAAAGTATATTATACAGTATGATATTTATTAATAATAATTATCATATCACAAAATAATTATGAAAAAATAAATAATATCACAAATAAATCATTTTCAAGTAGCATTTGTGTAGAGTATTATATACGGTATTTAAAATATCATTTTTCAATAATATAGGTATTTTAAAACTACTATACAGTAGTATTGATCCCGTATTAAGTAGTGATCACTTTTTCTATGACAGATGTGATGTTTGTATTTGAAAACTAACTAAAACTAATAATTTTCATCATTTACTGTTATGCTATATAACTGTATATTAAATGCATAATTAAATGTGTTATCATTTAGTGTTGTCACTTACTTTTTGTTTTTTAATAATAATAATAATTGCATTAATTAATTATAATTGATTTTACAAAATCTTACAAAAAATCTTTCAATTAATAAGAAAAATAAAATATTATTGACAATAACAAAAGCAAACATAAACAATAACTGACAATAAATGTCAATAAATTGAATTATACAATGAGTACAACAAAGAATTAATATTTGAATTTTAAAAATTATTTTTACATTACTTTACTATATTATACAATATTAATATCAGAGATGTCTATAAAATCAATAATTTCTAGTACTGTACTTTTGTAAGTATTTTTATAAGTACTTTTGATAGTAATGACAAAATAAATTTCATTTAAACTGCGATTTTTATACATTTCAAAAATAATATATTAATAATAACAAATATTTTTTGAAAATTGATACAAATTTACAATATTTGTAAACTATTACTTATTAACACTTATTACTTATTATATAAAATAACAAATAATAGTTTTATAAATTTGATTTATTTATAGTTTTAATAAACACATTTTAATAATACATCAAAAACAATATATATTTGAAAATATAATTAATAATAATTAAAAAACAATATTGTTTTTTAAATATTACAATTTTCATGTGAAGTTAATCAATCAAAATTAATATATAATAGTATAATAAGCAAAACTTGATTTAATGAAATATTTCAAAAGACATTATTAAATAATACAATTAAATTGTTTTTATTTAATATAAATTTGATTTTTTTTTAAAAATTGAAACATAGTTTGTTTGACATAATACAACTTATATTCAAAACTTTTTTTACTTTTTATAATTTAAAACTGTTAAAATGAGTGTCGATTTAGATATTAAAAAGTAATATGCAGTATATTTTGTTATAAATTTATATTTAAAAAATAGTTTATTAATTTTGTTTTTATTGATTAATAACAGATAATATTTTAAACAAATTAATTTTATTAATATATTATTAGAAAACATCTGCCAATCAATGAATCAATAAGTTTGGCGACTGAAGTGTTTGAATCAGTGATGCAAACCAATGATGTGGAGAAAGCATTGGTCACTATTGAGCCCTATTGTGACCAAAGTGTTTATCACAGCTTTATTAAGGCGGCATATCTGCTAATGACTGCAATGGCATCCATTGAAAAGGTATATCACATATATTTTGTATAAAGTATTATGATTTTACCTCTTTTTTGCATTATTTATGAAATGTTAATTATTACGATATATATAAATATATATATAGGATGACATTGAAAGAGCATCAAAAGCTATCGATGATATGATTAAAGTAACAAATAAATACCGGAAAACTGGTATAATTGTAAGTTTAATGAAATATGTGAAAACACCTAACTATGAGAAATATACTGATTGTAAGTTTATATTCAATAAATTATTGATTGACATATAAAATAATAAGGAGTTAATTATGATTATTATTATTATTATATACAGTAGAGTTGCATGCTGAATTAGTACATACATATGGGTATATTCTAAGCGCTGCTGTATTAGCTATTGAGGTTCATACTATCTATGGATTAATTAAAGTTGTTTATCGGCTGCAAAAATTTATCACACATTTTAGGTAACAATATAATAGCTAATTTTTTAAATAAAAAAACTTAATTATTTATAATTTAAAATATACTATTAATAACAAATACTTAAAAGACATGTAAAAATATCATTGAGAACACGGACTAACTGGGAAAGCGATTTATCAAAATTAAATTATGAATCTCTTATACGACTGGCCAACGGGTGTTCACATTTAGTGATCAGTAATGCTCCGCCAAAATTGTTGCGAATCGTTAACTTTATAGGCATTAAAGGTATCGAACAAATTGGATGGAAAAATTTGAACAGGGTCGCCAATATATTACCCGGAGTAGGCAGTCATCTGAGCAAATTGTTTCACGTCCTTTATTTGAGTTATTGGTCAACTCATGGAGGAAATTGTCCACAATATATGGATAAACTTAAACTTATTTTAGATACTGAACTCAACAAATATCCAAATGTTAATATTTTTATGACTTATTAAAATATTATATATATATACTAATTAATGAACATATTTTTAAAACTAGAATTTATTGTACAACATATTTCGGGCAAAGTATGAACAGGTATCCGGACGAGTGGACAGTTGTATTATTATACTAAAAGAGCTATTAAATGACGAACACATTACCCCAAAACGCTTTCTATATTTTGAACTTATGGTGAGTTATGCACTCAAATGTGATTGGGATTTGAGTATTGAATTTGCTGAGAAGTTTCGCACCGGTAGCTTATATACACCGGCAATTGCCACATATTTTGAGGGAGTAGTTCGTTATTGTAAGTATATTGACACCAATGACTTGTATGAAAAAGCTAAAGCTTCTGAGCTGTTTAAGTGAGTGAAAAAATATATTAAATATAAACATCGGATACAATAAATAATTTGTTTTTTGTTTTTGCTATGAAATGTTAGAACTGTTCCCGAATTAAGAGTCAGACATTTAGGCAAAACTATAACACCGGAAAAAATAGCAATCGTTAGGTCTGAACAATACATAAAGTGTAATGAAATATTGGTTTTGCCACAAATAGTAATATTATAATTTTTATTATAAAATTATAAAATATAAATAATAACTTATTTTATTAAATTATTAAATTATTAAATTTTATATTATGAACATATTAGGAGTCATTATATAGTATGAATTCATTATCATTTATACATAATAATCCAATATTACTGAATAAACATTTAGATAGAGTTAATAAACAAGTTGATAAATACGCAAATGATATTGGTATATAAAGTTAAATGCAATTTAAAAATAATAATAAAATTAATTAAATAACTTTATTTAAAGAGTCCAGCGATTATTTAGATAACTATTTGTTAGCAATTTATTGTAAAGCAGTTTTACTTCGTTTACTCAATGATTTTCAAAATGCCAGACAATTACTTAATTTTATTATTGAAAAGTAAGTATAAACTTGTAATTTATTATTTTTTATATAAATTTATAAAAGTATAATAAATTATAATAAAATAACAAAATTGTTTGACAATTGCAGTGAATCGCGAATCGGATGCGAGTTTTCATTGCCGGCACAAGCGGTCTGTGAATTGGGTTTAATTGAAGTTCAATTGAAAAATACATCGGAGGCCACAAAATTGCTAAACAAAGCTATTAATGAATACACCGGTTATTTAAATGAAATGATAGTTCATTTTAAAGCCTACGCCGGGCTCAGGGAGTTGGGTATAGTGAGTGATAAACAAGAAGTGAAAGATGAAGACAAACGTATGTTTAGTTAATTAGAAAATAATTTAATAAGATTTTGTATTATTATTATTATTATATGTTAATTATTATTATAATTAGTCGAACATTTAAAAAAGCAATGGCTTCAAGATATAAGTATTAAAGAAAAACATTATGAAAAAATTATTGACAAAGAAGAACAAATTATCACCAATTGATCCATTGATTTCATGTCCTATTAATCAATTAAAACTATTATAATAATAAATTTAAGTTTACCCTAATTTTAAATAAAATTCATAAGAATAGTACTATTATATAGTAGTTTATATTTGTACTAAATACAGTATAATTGCAACATTAATCATGTATGCAATAAAATTTATACTAAATAATAAATATCCTTGTTTACATTTATATTAGCATTTAATATTAGGTTTGAATAATAATTATTAGTGACTAATTGTGGAATTATTAATATTTATAATTATTATTTTAAACGTACATTTAAAATATAATGTAATAAAATTAGTAAGTTTTTAATGTTATTTGCTTATTATCTTATATATCATTGTCAAGAAAATATAAAACTTATTAAATTAAATTATTTTAAAATATAAATACTTGATGTATAAAATTTGTAAATAATACATCATTTTTATTTTATAATAAAATAAGTAGTTATATATAGTGTTTAGTAAATATTTTGTATAATTAATACTGTTTTAAAAATTATTGTATTTAAAGTGTTTGTTTAACAATTTATTAAAAAAATAAAATTATGGATTCTCAAAATGAAAAAACAAACAATGAATGGTAATTAATATTATTATATAATTTATTATAATATTTATGTATAATTATTGTTGTAGTGATCATTTGCCAATAGAGGAGTCCATAAGATTATCTAAACAATTGTTAGATAACGTACTCAAAGATAACGATACCGTCAAAGGATTAGCCGAAGTTGAGCCCTATTGTGATCGTAGTATTTATCATAGCTTTTTGAAAATGATTTGTATGATTATTACCGCAATCGTCACAATGGATAAAGTATTGATAGAATAAACTGTTATTTTTTGAATTAATTAAATTATGTAAACATTTAGTTAGATATAGAGAGTGCCAATCAATCGGTTGAAGAAACAAAAAAATTATGCAATAAATATAGAAAAACTGGTTTTATTATAAGTTTCATGAAATTGTTAAAAACACCTGATTATGACAAATACACAGATTGTAAGTATTAGATAAAATCAATAATTTGATAAATCTATTTCTAGTTTAATATAATAACTAATTTTAATTATAATATTAATAGTGGAGTTGCACTCAGAATTAATACATACTATATGTTATGTAAGCAGTGCTGCTGTTTTAGCCATTGAAACCAATAATATCTATAGTTTGATTCGATTAGCTTATAGACTGCAAAAATGTATCAAAAATTTCAGGTAATTTAAATTAATATATATATAAATAATACTATTTAGTAATAAAATAATTACTTAACTCTCATAATTAAAACAATACATAATAGATATTGTAAGATAAGTGCGAAAACTCGCACACATTGGGAAAATGAATTATCTGAAAATACGTACAAATCTGCTGTTTTATTGGGTAACGGTTTGAGAAATTTAGCCATAAGTAATATACCACCAAAAGTATTGGCAATCATAAACTTTTTGGGCATTAAAGGCAGTGAAAGTAATGGTTGGAAGAGTATAAATGAGGGAACATTGGTTGAACCGGGAATTTTTAGTATACCTTGTGTTTGGTTTCGTATAGCCTATTGGTTATACGCTGAACCACATGGATATATGGGTCCTAAAAATAATGACTTTTGCAGACAAGTCTTGAATAGTCAATTGGAAATATATCCTAAGGTATAGATTTTGTTATTTATTGAATATATTTTTAATTTATTTAATATTATATTCATTTTAATATATTTATTAATTAAAAATATTACAGAATCTAATACTTCGTACGGCTGAAGCAAAGTTAGAAGAAATTAGTGGAAACATTGATAAAGCCATTGAAATCTATAATGAATTGTTGTCTGATCCACATATGGCACCCAAACGTATTTTTCATTTTCATTTAATGTTTTGTTATGCACTGAAATGTGATTGGGATCCATGCATTGACAATGCAAGTAAGTTCCGCACCGGTAGCTTATATTCACCAGCAATGGCCACATATTTTGAAGCAATAGTTCGTTACGCAAAAGCTGTAGACTTGGATGATAAAGAAGAAATGGAAAAAGCTGTCAAACTATTTAAGTAATCGTATAATTAATAATTTATTTTATTTAATATAATTTAAAACATGTAATAAATTATAATTATATTAATAGAGTTACTCCATCATTACGTATCCGACATTTGGGTAAAACAATAACACCTGAAAAGATAGCGGTTGTCCGATCGGAAAATTTTTTTAAAAACAACAATCTATTAGTTTTACCCGATATTGTAAGCAATTATTAAGTTTTATAGTTATTTCATTACATAACATTATTTTACATATCTTATACTGATAATATATTCAATGCTTTATAATTTTTATTTCTTATATATATAGTAACATCAAGTAATATAATTGTATGAGAATTGTTAAATTTATAGTAAAAATTAACTAATATTGATTATTAGTGTCAAAATTCTGACATTGCTTTAATTATCATACTTTAAACTAATTTCATATTATAAATCAATTAATTTAAATAATTAAAAAATTATTACATTTATCATAATTTATATTATTAATTATTTATATATTTTTAGGAAGTTTTATGTGAAACAAATTATATTATTTTTATCAAAAATGATAAAAATTTATTACAAAAATTCATGTCAAGAATTGATAAACAAATTAACAAACATAAAGAAGATCTAAGTATATTATTTTTTTATTAATAAAACATTTAATTTAAAATAATAAATATTTTATTTGTTTTTAAAGATTTAAGTGATAATTTGGATAATTATTTAAAAGCAATGTATTTGAAAGGTGTTATTTATAAATTATTGGATGAATATGACCATGCTAAACAATGTTTTGAATTTGTTGTTAACAAGTAATGTATATTTGATATAAAATCATATATATATTATTATTTTAAATATAATTTACATAAATATATATTATTATTAGTGAATCACGTATTGGTCGCGAGTTTTCATTACCGCCGCAATCTATGCTTGAATTGGGTTTAATTGAAGTTATACTCAATAATAAAGATAAAGCCATTGAACTGATCAACAAATGTATTAATGATTACTCGGGTTATACTAATGATGTTTATGTTCACATCCGGGCATTTGCTGGACTCAGGAGTTTGGGTGTCACTACTGATAAACAAAATGAAAACGACAACAAATGTTTGTTTGATATAATGTTATAAATAAGATATAAATTTAAATAATATTTTCTAATTATAATATTTAGTGGAAGACTATAAAAAACAATGGCTAAGGAATCTGTCGCTCAAAGAAAAGAAATATAATAAAGTGATTGAAGAAGAAGACACTGTCGATAATAAACATAATGTTATTCATAAATAATTTTTAAATATAATCACTAATAAAATAAATAAAATATAATTTTGTTATTTTATAAAAATATCTTATAATAAACTATTTTAAAATACTGTTTTTTGTTATTAACGCTAACATATTAATACAAATTTTTATAATACATTTATATTATATATTAGTTTAATTTGGTATATGTAACGCATTATTTAGTTTCAAAAGCTGTTAAAATCTAAATTTAAAGAGTTATAGATAAGATAAGTTACTACACCTCACCTCCCATTCCTTCCTACCCAACACACCATTTCCTAACCCTCCAAACTCATCCCAATCTAACCTTTTGTTATAAACTTAACTGTTATAACAGCACTCCTGAAACTACAACAATCAATGCATTACTTATACAGGATTTTAGTCAACGATTCTTTTGACAAAATTTTCAAAACACAAAAACACATAATTTTATTAAATATTTTTGAAATATTGACACATATTTTCATGTCTCTAGTAATTAGCAATAAAAATGTGTTGTTAAGTAATTAGTAAACATTAGTACACATATTTTTTTAAATCTTATAAATAAGTTTTTTATTATTTATTTATTATTAAAACATCTGCAATAATAATTTGTGCAAATATTTTATTTAATAATACAGTATATAATTTAGTCATTTTCATAACCCCTTTAACTGGTTTTTAGTCAATATCTCAAATACTAATTGGAATAACTAAACCTAACTTTATTGAAAATGAGGATTTAATTAACGAATAGTAGAATATTATTTATTTTAATATTTATAAATAATGATGTTAACTGTGGAAAATACATTTTTGAAACTGTAAGAGATATTTTAAATTTATAAAAATAAAAATACACTATAAAGTCATCAATATATTGATATAATATACAGTATATTAAGGCATTAATAATTCAGTACTTTATTTATAAATTACGTTAAAACACGACTGGATTTTTAAAATGCATATTTCAAAAGTGTTTGCAGTATTATTCAAATTTTATTATTAATTAGGTTTGCAATCATCGCTGTTATCTAATTCCTCAAAAGTCTCTTCAAACCCATAGAAACCCATAATTTTTGTTTATTTTATAATATATTTTTGTTTATAAGTTTTACTGTAGTACTACATGTGTAATTGAAAATTAAATAATTAAACTTAGCTGTACTTTTACAGTACTACTATATATTTGATAGAAATTAATTTTTAAATATTTAATAATTTAAATAAAACATATTTCATATTTATTACATTTTTATAAGTTAAAGATTTTTTGAGATATTGGTATTAATAAAGATTTTTAAAAAACAATTTTGTAATAATACAAGAAATACATTTGATAAATACTTTATTATTAATTACTATATTTTACATATGTTTTTAGAAACATTATTTATTAATTCATTTATCAAATTATAATTATAATAGTATTAAAACATTAATTATGATTATTTAAATTGATTGATATATTAATCATTTTTTATGTCCATTAATTCGTGTGTTGTTCTAATATCTATAAAATAAAAAAACAAGTTTTAATTGAAAATATGATATATATGTATAAATTAATTAAATATTAATAATACTCTGAATATCGTTAATATGATCACTTTGTTGTGCACTTTTCAAACCATTTTCTTCAATACATTGTTTGGAGTTTAGAAAGCATTTGATGGCATAGTTATGATATGATATAATTTGAATTTGTTGTTCAAGATATTGGATGTATTGTTCACACGAGTAAAGTATCGATGATTTGCATTTGGTATCAATATTGCGATCGACGAGCAATTGTCGCAAACAAGAGAAAGCTTTGTCCAGATTTTGCATTTTTGTATGAAATATACACCAAATTTTGCTGATCTGATATTTATATTAATTTTTAATAATTTTGAAATATTATAAAGATATCATTTTTTATAGTTATATGTAAATGTTAAAAAGTTTTCCTTAAAATATATGATTTTCCCAATTTAAGTATTTTATTAATGATTATTCTTAATTAATATATAATTAAAATATAACAATTATATACATTAAAGATTTTAGCAAATCATAGGCTTTTTATAATAAAAATTAAAACATCAAATAATAAATAAATATTTGTCTGCAAATTTCCACAAATGGCATATATATCTGAAGTTCATTTTATATAATAAATTATAGAAAAAAATATAAATTTTTAAGTTTTATACAAAAACTATTAATATTAATTTTATTGTATTCATAAAATATTATTTTATTAATACAGAAAAATGTCTGAAGATATTCGCTATAATTATTATAATATTATTGATTATAATCCAAATAAATGGACAAAAAACTGGACCCAACATTCAGGGATTGCATACATACCGGCGATCACCGAATGGGAAGAACTTATGTTTGACACTCTCGATGGCGATAAACTTCATGAGTTTATGCAACAAAAATGGTATTATTCAGTGTATATATCTATTGCTTACATTATTTTGATACCAATTTTGCGAGAATGGATTAAATCAAGAGGAAAGGGTTATAATTTACGGACAATGCTTACAATTTGGAACTCCGTTTTAGCCCTTTTCTCCTTTATTGGAGTCGTCAGATGTTTACCAGAGTTTATAGATATACTGATTAATAAAGGATTTGTCGCATCATTTTGTGAATCAGACTATTATAATGATCCGCGACTTAACTGGTGGTATCTGTTGTTTGTCTGGTCTAAAGTTATTGAACTAATCGATACATTGTTTATATTGTTACGAAATGGAAAGTTACTAACACTTCATTGGGTACACCATTGCTTGACATTAATATACTCGTGGTATGTGTTCGGTGACGTCCCGGCCACTGCCCGATGGATGGTTAACATGAACTTCATTGCACATACTCTTATGTATACATATTATACATTAAAAGCAATGAGAATATCCATACCATTGGTCATCAGTATATCAATAACATTGATACAGATATTGCAAATGATTTTTGGACTTTATATCAATTATATTGTCATACAATTTAAAGACAGTGGCGTTGCGTGTGATGTCTCCAAACCTATTGCCACAACTGGTCTTTCACTTTATACTTTGTTTTTAATATTGTTTTCAAATTTCTTTATCAATGCTTACTTAAGAAAGTCCAAGTCTTACAACAATACTAACAGTAAAATTGATAACAAAATAAATAAAGTTTCTCAAAAATAATATTATTGTAATAATAGAAATATAAAGTTTTGTTTGTATAGTTTATTAGTTTAAAAGTTCAATTTCAAGTAATTTTATTTTAAATAATAATATTATGTAACAATTGATAATGTGCTTTACTTATACAATGTACTTAGTTAATGTTATATAATATATATAACCATAAATGTATAAATGAAACTCTAATAAATTTATCTAGGTAATTTTTTGAAAATTTCTCAAAAATAAATTTTTATATAAATATTTATAATATTATGGGTTATCCATATAGTAAGTTGTGATACTGTATAATTGTTATATTATATAGGATAAAGTGCATTACATATAGAGTTCGGGCAACTTTCCCAGGGAGGAAAGTTCCCTTATAAAATCTCTACAATTTTTATTCATAGTTAGTATTAAAAATATATTTTATATTAAAATTAAAAAAATATCAAAACTCAGAAAATATTTTCAATTAAAAATATTTATAATGTAGTTTAGTCATAATGAATAGTTAATAGATTTAGACATTATAAAATTTATAGCACTGAAAAAAGTGTATTTATTAAATATCTTAATTATTTCATAATTAATAGAAAATCATTTTTAATAGATGATTTATTATAAATTAAATATAGAATTTAACAAAAAAAATCAAAAAATACCTATCTATTTTAATTCTATTTTAATTCTATTTTAATTCTATTTTAATTCTATTTTAATTCTGTTAAAATTTTGAAATTTTCATGTTTTAAAAAAATTAATTTTCCAAGTCAACTATGTAATTTTATAAAAAAATCCTGAAACACATCTAATTATTTATTATCTAGTGCCTCCCTGAGCTTGCATATCTGTGCCACAATATTTATAAATATAAACTTAATATACCATTACATCAGTAAGAAACATATTTATTGTGAAATTAATTATTTTTGTCAATTCCTTTGTATTAATTTTGTTAAAAAGCGACTTTTGAGACACATTTTATATATACTGTATATTATAAACTTCTTTCATTTTTTATAGTATATTATATAAATATACAGTTTATAAATATATATTAATAAGTTATAAAACGTTATGTAACTAAACACATTAAAAACTACAGTTATAAAATTATGCATTTTATAAATTTATAATATACAATAAAATAATATAAAATAAAACTATAATTAAATTCAAAATTTTTTATTAAGACAAATAAATAATTAGAATTATAAAATTCTCATTTAGATTTTGTTAGTAATATGATATTACAAATTACTAATATTCTTTAAATTATTCAAATAATTAATTTTTTAGTGAAATTATTTTATCAATATTCATTTTGTAATACTATTTAGATTTATAATACTAATATTAGTATTAAAGTTATAAATTATCAAAATTTATAATTTGTTTATTTTAACAAACTTTACTCTAATTTTAGTAATTCGTTAGAAAAGATATTCCTATTTTGGATTCAGAAATAAAAGTTTTTGAAAATTATAGGCTCTGTCAGGTGCTGATCATGATCATGGTCAATTTAATGTCAACTAACCCAGGTTAAAACTAGTCAATTTACATATAGGGACATCAAAATATATGATATACTACCTGTTTATGTACTGTTAGTTATTTATTGTGCAAAAAAACTGACACAGTATTTTAATGATTCTAATTTAGTATTATATTGATTTGTAAATAAATATAATATAAAATATATTAATTACTATTCTTAAAAACATTTTATAATCTTAAAATCATTAATTATTTATATTTTCTTAAACTAAATTGATTTATAAAATAAAGTAACAAATTTTAAAAATAATTGTTTTAAAAATTAAACATTTATTTATACTTAAATTAAGGTATAAATGTCAATAAATTCCTAAACTGTTTAAAGTTAAGAATAATTATTTAAATCTTATGAGAATTTATTATTACATTATTATTATATTATTATAAACTATTCCCTATTAAATAAAAAGGTTAAACTATTAATTTTTCTAAATTTTGTATAAGTTTTTAGTTTTAATTACGATATATAATATTAATAATCACATTGATTAACATTTCCTTTATTTAATTATTAATATATATAATAATTAAATAAAATGAAATATGAATCATGTGTGCAATTATTTATAAATTATTATTTGTATAATGTATTTACTTTAATTTATACCTCCTTTAGGCATAACATTAAGTATTATCCATTTGTTTTTACGCATATTACACAAAAAACCAATTTTCATAACTAGTATATTACGTAGATAATTATGATAATTATAATTATAATTAAAATTTTTTTATATTGTTCTGTATTGAAAAATTTGTATTTTACTTTTATAAATAATATACTTAAAATTATTTTTTTCAAAAATTGTTTTTTTTTGTGTATTAGTCGTCAGTGGATATATAATATTGATTACTACCCGAAGCACAACATCTACACAATAATCAAATAGTGATGTCTTGGGATCAGAGCATCAATGGGTGCTTTGCATCCAATTGTAATGCAGAGCAAACACACAATACATACTGTAGTTGTCATTCAATGTAATGCTTTCATATATTGTTAGTATATTGTTTACTAAACTTTATATTAATAATATACAGCAGTATAATACCAGTATAATTATATTGTATCACATAATATAAACACAAAGTAATTAATAAAAAAATTATTTAATTATAACACTGTATAATGTGTATAACAGTGTAATTGTCAAATAGCAGTCAAATAGTATTTATAATAGTTATTACTACTACTAAATTATCTTTTTATTTTTTTCTCTATCTATCTATGACTCCATAATTCAGTGGCCGAGAGATTAAGTTGTCGGCTGTTTTGCAAGTGTTGTCTGAAAACAGTACATCCGGTAAAATGCTTGGGATTTGCTTCCATACTATGGATATACAGTAATCAATGAATGGGATTACAGATACTTAATACTAGGAAATAGTATGTTATGGTAATAAATGGTCTAAAAATCTCATTAAAACAAATATAATAACAATATATTCACTAAAAATAAGATAGAATAAAAAATTATAAATAATTAATAAAATTAAGATAAAAATAAACAAATTTAATACCCTGGTAGTTTGTATTCCCTTATTCCGGACATTGTCTCAATTGACCGAAAATAATATGCCGTCATATCTATGATAACACTTTTGGTTACGGAATTTGCTTCGAATGAATTTATCACAAAATAAACTTTAGTCATGTTTGGTATCAAATGATTCAGTTAACAAAATAAACTCAACTTTAGTCAAGTGGGGTATCAAATGACTCGTGAAATATCATTTCGGTTAAGGAATTAAGTCGAATGGATATTAATATTAATTGTCTTCATTACTATTATTTTTCACAAAAAATACATTTTTGGTCGGAATATACAATTAACGAGATATCTTGAGTTAAAAAAAATCTTTTTTTAAAAAATTCTAAAATAATCTAAAAATCTCAATCGTTGTCTAATATATACTCTAATATAAACTTTATAAATCTGTTTTTGGTTGAGTTAGGTTTGGATAACAATTTTTATTTATTTTTTTTTTTGTTTTAAAAATTATGTTTATCTCGCATTTATCTTATTTTTCAATATTGTACAAAGTTGTCAATAATATATTTTGTAATCTATATTAGTATATATTATACATTATAGAAAATATATATACATTACAGTCATTTGTATCAAATACATTAAAAGAGTTATATTTTGAAATTTTTTTAGTAATCCGCCATTTTTACCATTGAATACATTATTAGTATTATTTTTCTTTATTTCTCGTATAGATTTAAGAAAACAAAACTTTTTATTTTTTTTGAAGATTATTACTAAATAATAATCAAGTTTTTGAATAACAATATAATTATTAGTTTGAAAGAACTTTATTTTTTTAATGGGAATACAAATAGATTTTTATATCAAATTATTTATATAACTAATTATAAATAAAAGTATCTGAAACTCAATGTTATTATGTTTTGTTGTTCAATAAGACAAAAATTTAATTAAAATATTTAAATTTTATACTAACGATTTTATAATTGTCGTATATAATGTGTAACAATCTTAGCAAATTTTTAAGTATTTTTTATAGTAGTAATTTTTTGTAAATTTTTGAAAGTTAGTTAAAAAATAATTTATATTATTTTTTTAGTAACTGATATTACAAAGCATTAGAATGGATTCACAACATAATAAATTAAACAGTGACTTAAAATGGTAATTATAATTATTATATAATTTATTATTATATTTATGTATAATTATTATTGTAGTGATCACTTGCCACTAGAAGAGTCCATAAGATTATCTAAACAATTGTTTGATAACATAGTTAAAGATAACGATACCGACAAAGGATTAGCCGAAGTTGAGTCCTATTGTGATCGCAGTATTTATCATTGTTTTGTCAAAATGACAATTATGATAACCACTGCAGTCGTCACAATGGATAAGGTATTTATAAGTTACTGATATTTTTTTAATTAATTAAATTATGTAAACATTTAGTTAGATATAGAGAATGCCAATCAATCGGTTGAAGAAACGAAAAAATTATGCAATAAATATAGAAAAACTGGTTTTATTGTAAGTTTCATGAGATTGTTAAAAACACCTGATTATGACAAATACACAGATTGTAAGTATTAGATAAAATTAATAATTTGATAAATCTATTTTCATTATAATATAATAATTTATACTTAATTTAAATTATAATATTAATAGTGGAATTACACTCAGAATTAATGCACACTATATGTTATGTCTGCAGTGGTATTGTTTTAGCCATTGAAACCAATAATATCTATAGTTTGATTCGATTAGCTTATAGACTCCAAAAATGTATCAAAAATTTTAGGTAATATTATTTAAGATTATTGATAATAATTAAATTTTTATTTTCTATAAAAATACTAATATATTGCAAAATAATTAATAGATATTGTAAGATATGTGCGAAAACTCGTACACATTGGGAAAATAAATTATCTGAAAATACTTACAAATCTGCTGTTTTATTGGGTAATGGTTTGAGAAATTTATTTATAAGTAATATACCTCCAAAAGTATTGGCAATCATCAACTTTTTGGGCATTAAAGGCAGTGAAAGTAATGGTTGGAAGAGTATAAATGAGGGAACACTGATAGAGTCAAACATTTTTAGTATTCTTTGTATTTGGTTTCGTATAATCTATTGGTTATACGCAGAACCGCATGGATATATGGGTCCTATAAATAATGACTTTTGCAGACAAGTCTTGAATAGTCAATTGGAAATATATCCTAAGGTATAGATTTTGTTATTTATTGAATATATTTTTAATTTATTTAATATTATATTCATTTTAATATATTTATTAATTAAAAATATTACAGAATCTAATACTTCGTACGGCTGAAGCAAAGTTAGAAGAAATTAGTGGAAACATTGATAAAGCCATTGAAATCTATAATGAATTGTTGTCTGATCCACATATGGCACCCAAACGTATTTTTCATTTTCATTTAATGTTTTGTTATGCACTGAAATGTGATTGGGATCCATGCATTGACAATGCAAGTAAGTTCCGCACCGGTAGCTTATATTCACCAGCAATGGCCACATATTTTGAAGCAATAGTTCGTTACGCAAAAGCTGTAGACTTGGATGATAAAGAAGAAATGGAAAAAGCTGTCAAACTATTTAAGTAATCGTATAATTAATAATTTATTTTATTTAATATAATTTAAAACATGTAATAAATTATAATTATATTAATAGAGTTACTCCATCATTACGTATCCGACATTTGGGTAAAACAATAACACCTGAAAAGGTAGCGGTTGTCCGATCGGAAAATTTTTTTAAAAACAACGATCTATTAGTTTTACCCGATATTGTAAGTAATTATTCATATTATTTTTATTTTATATTAAAAGTTATTTAAAGTTATTTTAAATCATATAATAATATATGATGTCAACATTACATTAATAACCATACTTTTATTTTTTATACAAATTTATATTACGATAAAATTAGATTTAATAATTTTGTATTCATATTATATTTTAAAATTAATTGTCTACAAGAATAGAAATTTCTATAAGATTTTTAAAAATGAAATCACATATTATTATATATTTTTAAATAACTATTATTTAATAATACAATGAATCATTAATAATAAATTATTAATAAAATTTTATGAATAGTGTTGATTTTCATAAAATTGTTTTTATTGTTTTTATATTACATGGGTTTCAAATAAAGATCCCCTTATATTATAATAGATTTGAATTTATATAATTTTTGAATTTTTATTTATTTTTATATTTAAAAGTTTTTTATTTTATATATCAAAACTTGTATTATTTATTTATATATTTTTAGGAAGTTTTATGTGAAACAAATTATATTATTTTTATCAAAAATGATAAAAATTTATTACAAAAATTCATGTCAAGAATTGATAAACAAATTAACAAACATAAAGAAGATCTAAGTATATTATTTTTTTATTAATAAAACATTTAATTTAAAATAATAAATATTTTATTTGTTTTTAAAGATTTAAGTGATAATTTGGATAATTATTTAAAAGCAATGTATTTGAAAGGTGTTATTTATAAATTATTGGATGAATATGACCATGCTAAACAATGTTTTGAATTTGTTGTTAACAAGTAATGTATATTTGATATAAAATCATATATAGATTATTATTTTAAATATAATTTATATAAATATATTTTATTATTAGTGAATCACGTATTGGTCGCGAGTTTTCATTACCGCCGCAATCTATGCTTGAATTGGGTTTAATTGAAGTTATACTCAATAATAAAGATAAAGCCATTGAACTGATCAACAAATGTATTAATGATTACTCGGGTTATACTAATGATGTTTATGTTCACATCCGGGCATTTGCTGGACTCAGGAGTTTGGGTGTCACTACTGATAAACAAAATGAAAACGACAACAAATGTTTGTTTGATATAATGTTATAAATAAGATATAAATTTAAATAATATTTTCTAATTATAATATTTAGTGGAAGACTATAAAAAACAATGGCTAAGGAATCTGTCGCTCAAAGAAAAGAAATATAATAAAGTGATTGAAGAAGAAGACACTGTCGACAAACATAATGCTATTCATAAATAATTTTATAGTTTAATTAAATATAAATTAAATATTTTTATAGAATAGTAGAATATTGAAAATTATTAATTAATTAATTTTTTATATTTTATATTAGTATAAAAAATAAACATACTTTTTTATATTTACAAAAAAATAAAATGTAAAAAAATAATGAGGTATTTTAAAATTTAAACATAATATAATACATACTTTATACAATTTATAAATTATTTATTTTATATAATTTTACTTAAACATCTATGATAAATTAAATAATGTTAAATAGGCTTTATAACAAAACTTTAAAAAAATTATTTTATCATTTAAAGTGATAGTGTCATTGGTCACTTTATAGTATAATTTTATATTTTTACTCACAATTATAAAATAATAGAGTTTATTATATATTGTGTTTATTTTGGATAATGTTTTGTTGTATATTTTTGATACACATTATGTTAATATTTTTAGTTTAGTTTTTGGCGACATTCAGATCAGTTGCACTACTATTTTCTTATCTCATCTCTCGATGTCAACACATGTATTGATATACAGTTTCGTAAAGCTTTAAAATGGGTTATCGTTTTATATCAATTTTATTAATTATTTTTAATACGTTTAAAATAACTGTAAACCTCAATAAAAAGTTTATATTGTAATCTAATTTCTATGTATGTTATGAACATCTATAATATTAATATAATTCTAAATTATATTATAAAAATTAGTTTTATGTTATAAGACACTGATTCTATCATTATTAATAATTATGATAAATTTAATTATTACTATCATTACTGTTTTTAATTTTTTTAATTTTATTAATTTTTTATATATGCATTTTTTAAAAAACAATTACATAATTACAATTAATGAATATATGCCGCATACACTGTTTGATTTTGGTTTGGTTTCTGTATTAAAAATTTTGTTTTTAATCCTCCTCTAACATAAATTTCATATAATGTCTATATTGTTAGTTATCTAAAATTTTTTATAATAATCATTAAATGTCAATAAATACCCACAAACCTTAATATTGGGTTTACTATCAAAATTAATAAAAACAATTGAAATAAAAACAATAAACTTAAAATAAAGTATTTTTAAGTTTTGATTTTAGTTTTGTTGTTGTAATGATCTTTTAAATTAAATGATATTTTATTAGTATATATTATATTACAGTATATTTTTATTAAATTTATATTTTTAAAATAACAGTTAATTAATTATAATAATAATTTGTATTATATTGTTATCTATTTTAACACACTGTTTAGTAATCTATTTGGAAATTATATACAGTATTATTAATAATAGATTTATTAATTACTATTTTAAAAATTATATTAATGAACTTAGTGAGAAAAAGTTATTATACACTTGTTTTAATTACTTTAATTTGTTCACTAAATTAAATAAATATTTTAAATACGGAAAACAAAGGAACTTTATAAGGAAATATTATATTAAAGTTGATAATTAATATTTAATTAATATTAAAACTATTTATTTAAATCATACACACATTTGTTACATTATTATTTATTACTAATTTTTATTAAAGACGTCTATTGGATGACAATTTTCCATTGATTTATTTAAGTATCTAATAATTTTTGAACGGAAAAATTGTTAATTTTATAAGAAATTGTAAAATTAACTTTTAATTTCAATATATATATATATAATAAATATTTATCTTTAAATACCATTAAGTTTCTGTAATATTAAGTTCTGTTTATAATAACAAACTAATTTTAGTTTATTAATTATTTTTATTAAAGAATATTTTAAATCACAATGTCTATACTAGATAAAACAATATATTATTTGGGTCAATATTGGGATGATATTGGTGACCCCCGTGTAAATGATTGGTATATGCTTAAAGGGGGGATATGGAAAATATTGTCAATAATGTCTATATATTTATTGATAGTACGAGTAATATTGCCAATACATATGAAGCGTAGGTAATAATAAATAATTTTCTTAAATATATTTTTATAGTTAAAATACTATTTGAATATTTTATTGAATTTATATTTTATAGACCTCCGTATGATTTAGCAAAACCAATATTATGGTATAACACACTTATGGTGGTATTCAATGCTTATGGTCTCTATTGGGCCGTTAGGGCTATAGATTACGGCCGTATATTTCTTGACTTTACTTATCCATCGCGTGAAGACACATCCGAGTGGACGATGTGGTTAATGAACTTAGGTATTAACATAACTATTCATAATGTTTACACTATTTGATTGAAATAACAATCAAAATACCATTAACTATATATATATATATATATAGGATGGTTATGGATGGGAACCCGTTTCCTCGATTTGATGGATACCGTGTTTTTTGTTGTGCGTAAAAAAGAGTCTCAAATAACAACTCTTCATTTATATCATCACACAGTGGTTCCCATATTGGGTTGGGTATCGTTTAAATACAATGCTATGATACCTATAATCCGCATGTTTTTACTGTTAAACTCATTTATTCACGTAATGATGTACAGCTATTATGCATTGTCATCATTGGGACCGTCTGTCCAAAAGTATTTGTGGTGGAAGAGGTATATAACTCAGTGCCAAATCTTACAGTTTCTAATATGTGGCTGTTATGGAGTCGTTTTATTTACCCTACAAACCGGTTATCCCATGGAATGGTTTGCTTTCTGTGTCGGACAAAACCCATTGTTTTTCTATATGTTTTACGATTTTTACAAACAATCTTATAATAGACGAAAATTAAAACAATAATTGTTTATTGAAATTTATATTTAAATTTTAGTTTGTAAACACACAATTGTTATTGAATTAACAGTTATTTAATAAATATTTTTATTATTTACTTTATAAATTTATTTTATAAAACAAACTTTATTATGTTTGTCTTTATTGCAAAACATTACTAATAAAACATTACTTTAAATGTGATTTAAGCAAATGATTGCAAATTAAGTTAAATAATTGAACTAAATTCATACTATAGGTCAGGGTTGCTAAAGGTTTTCGATTTCAGGGGGGGGGGGGGGGGGGTATAGGGGAAGGTAAAATGGAAAAATTTTCGAAAAAGCTTGGGGGGTATAGGGAGGGGGTGAACATTTTTTATTGCATTTTTAAACGACAATTTTTGCCAAATTTGAGTAAATTCCCATTAAATTCCCATTAAATTCCCATTAAATTCCCACTAAATTCCCACCAAATTCCCAATAAATTCTCACTAAATTCCCACTAAATTCCTACTAAATTCCCACTAAATTCCCACTAAATTCCCACTAAATTCCCGCTAAATTCCCACTAAATTCCCGCTAAATTCCCAATAAATTAACAAAAAAATATTCTCAACTTAATTTCTCAATACTCAAAATGTTTTCTAAATATTAAAAATTGCATAAATATATTTATAACTAATATAATTATAATTATTAAATAAAAATATTATTTACATTTTAAAAAAATATTTATTGATTAAAAAATTAATGATATAATACTGTATTTATTATAACTTTTTAATAATAATAATAAAATTGGCAGAAATAATTATTAATTAGTTCTAAATAATTAATTTAATTTAAGAATATATCTTTTATAGTATTTTATATTGAACCATAACTAACACATTTTAATATAAAGATTCTAAATTCCCACTATATTCCTTTTAATTCCTTATAAATTTTTAATAAATTTCAACTAAATTATCTATAAATTAACTAATAAATATATTTCCAACTTAATTCTCAAAACTCAAAATGTTATCTTAAATATTCATTTTTACAAAAATATAAAAAATGAATAAATATATATTACTCTATAATCATGATAATTAATTAAAAATACAATTATTTAGTTTTAAAAAATTGATTTTAATTAAAAAATTAATAATATAATACTGTATTTATTATAACGTCTTAATAATAATATTGTCAGAAATAATTATTAAATAACTAAATAATTAATTTATGAATATTTTTTACATAGTATTTCATATTGAAAAATTTGAAAACACATTTTACTATAAAGTTTAAAAATATTAAAATATAATAATTTTAAAATTTATGCTAAAAATTTGTTTTCTACTTATATATATATATATATTATCATTTATAAAGAGCTAAAAAATAAAATAAAATATATTTGATTATTTTTTTAAAAATTGGTGGGAATTTATTAGGGAGCTTTTTTGTGGAGTGACCCAACTCTATTTATGTAATATTTAGTTAATATAATTATTATTATTTTTAAAGCACAACTAACACATTTTAATATAAAGTTTAAAAATATTAAAATATAATTATTTTAAAATTTATGCTAAAAATCTTAGTTTTCGACTTTAAATAAGAAATAAAATATATATTATCTTTTATAAACAGCTATAAATAAAATAATTTTTTGAAAATTGGTGGGAATATATTTTTTAGCTTGTGGAGTGCCCCAACTATTGTAAATAATGTTAAATTGATGTAATTAAGGACTTTTATCTATTTATTTTCTATACATAAGCTATTAATTTATATTAAAACTAATTTAATATTTATTTTTTTGTTTAATATAAAATTTTACATCGTTGAAGATTGGTAGGGGGCTCCCTAACTTTTTGGCTTCAGGCCAGGGGGGGTAAAAGCCAAAATTTCTCGATCTCAGGGGGGTAAGACGTCTTACCCCCTACCCCCCCCCTTTAGCAACCCTGTTATAGGTAATACACAAATATTTCAAAAACTGTACATTACTTAAATTATTATGGGTTTGAAATCAAATGATGTGATCGACTAAAAAAATATAATTTTTTAAATGATATCATTATTTTATGAGATTGTTTTGTATCATATAATTTTTCACAAATCTTATTTAGTTTAAAGTTATCTAAAAAAGAATCAGGATTTAAAGTGTATTATTACTCATAGCATGCGTATAGCACTCATAAGCATAGTTAGAGGAGTACCTACAAACAGTAAGTCAGCTTGGTAAGGGCCCAAACTAGCTGTCACTTAATATTTGAAATGGCAATAAACAACAGTGGCTCACTAGGGAATCGATCCCCGGACGTCGTACCATATGTGTTGTTTCTCAGGCAACACATACAAACAGCCGACGTCTTAGCTCAGTACGCCATAGATCCACGGACAAATAAATTATCTATAACTTTGCCCTGGACATTTTTAAATCCAACGTATTGTTGATCAGATAATTGTAATTAATAGCATCGCCGCTGTTTAAGATTCTCTGTTTATTTAATTATCTAAAAAATAAATATTTATACTAAACATAAAAATTAAAGTAAATTAAGACAAACGTTATTTTGTTTAAAATTCTAAATTATTTTATATTTTCAGTATTTATAACAAAAATATCTAAATCATATAAATAGCAAAATATTTCTTAATAAAAATGTTGTAAAAATAACTGTTATAATAATTAAATTATCAATTTAAATCAATAATAATTTAATTTTTATATTAAATACTTTAAGTACTAATATATATATTTTAAAAATCTATTTACAGTAATTATAGAACAGTATGTAAATATAATTTAGCGGATATCATATTTTAGTAAATTTATTTTTAAATTTAAAGATATACAATTATGTTGAATAATAAAGATACTGTATTTACTGAATTATACAAATAGGTATAATAAAAAATATAGTATAAATATCATTAGAGTTAAGTATAAAAACTGATAAAAATAATTAATTAATTTTCATGAATCTCATGCTTTTTCTGTAAAAAAATATTATTTTTTATTTTCTTATATAGAAATAGTAATTTTAAATTCTATTTTTATAGGTTTCTTATAATTAATAACATTAATTAAAACTATATTCCAATATTAGTACAGTATATAGTATTTAAATTGAAAAATACAAATAATTTTTTAACAATTAATAATTTAACAATTAATAATTTATTACTAAAAGTAATTTTAAGATTTAAATTTAATATTAAAATAAATCAAAATAATATAATTTATTGAATTTATATTCTTTAAAATAATATCAGTCATCTATATTTGAAATTTTAATTCCATTTTTAAAGAATAATTCTAATTATATTTATTTTTATTATATTTAATATCTTATTTATTTAATGACTATTATATATATAAAAAATATTTTTTATTTGTTAAACTTTCTGATCCAAAATCCCAAAATAAATGGTGATATAATACATAATAATGTGGCCATACTTGAGATAACCTCATGAATAAATGGCATCGATTTGTAATTAAAATCACCGCTTCTTTTCATACGGTTATTAATGACTTCTTTGGATGGCTTTTTCAAATCATAGGCCCATCCAATCAATGCAAACATATCAATGAAAAGTGTGGCCGGATTGAACACACGCCACGCACCAAACTCACTGGCAGAGTAATCCCTATTCATATCAATTATAATCAATTATTTTAAATGTTAAGTATTGTATATAGATTTCATATAAATGACAAACCATGGAAATGTGTGGTGATAGTTATGGAAACCCTCACCAAACATGATATGCCTTATAACACATTCAACAGGATTTATGCTTTTATCGTATGGCTATTAAATAATTTGAATTTATTATATAAATTAATAAATATCTAAATGAAAAATACCTTGGTACCCCATAAATGAGCGGCACTGTTAACACACCATGTAACATTAAGTGTGAACGCGTATCTCAACATAATACATGTAAAATATGATATCCATAATGTCTCCCCCCATAACAAGTACGGGATATATGTGGGAAGGAATCCCCAAATTAATCCAATGAGTGGTATATAAAATGTTCGTTGAAATTGAATTAGAGGGTCATTCTCGAGATCACTCATATCAACAGTTTTACCCTTTTCCAGGACTTCCGGATGTTTTTTACATAAAAGCCAACCTACGTGAGCAAAAAAGAAACCCCTTTTAGCGTTATGCGGGTCGGCATCAGTTTCCGAGTACTTGTGGTGAACCCTATGGTCACGACTCCACTCATAGATATCGTTCTCGAGCGCCAGTATGTGAAAGACAGCTAATATGATTTGAAGCGGAAGTTTGGCTTTATATGTCCGGTGACACCATAGTCTATGTGCCCCACACTTTAGGGTTTGTAATAGTTTACAATATTATTATATTAAATTAAATACAATATTATAAATTTTTTTACCTGAACTCCAAACGATGACATGAGAGCCAATATTAACATAAATACAACTGTTTCTAGTTTTGCGTAAAACATTGCCAAATATAAACCATAGATAGCCGACAAGTGGACGAATAACATTAATATGATATTACGCCAAACCAATTCCATTTGATATTTAACTGTTGGTGTATCACCATGTTCATTTGATATATGACCATGCTCAGTTGATAAGTCATCATGCTCATTTGACATATCATCTGAATATTTGGATCGTTTATCTAATTCAGTCCTAATAAATATAATAATAATCAATTGTACGATAAATTTTCAAAAATTATTTTATATATAATCTTACATTTTGCTTAATCAATATATTTTCGACTAATATTTTTTAAATTAATGAAAAATCTTTTTATATAAAAAATTTTTGTTATTGAGATGTCTATTGACTCATTATACTTATAAATTATATTATATGTAATTAGTTTATACGTAATTGTTTACAAAATATTTTTCTAATTAAGTTAAAATATAATATAACAAAAAAATACAGTAATATGAATCATATAAATAATATAATTAGTCACTTATATAACTTAATATTAATAGAAATATCATTAAATGTCATTACATGGGAACGTGTTAATAATAAAATATTATTTTCTTGTATAAACAATTAGATTTTATATATATATTTAATAATTACTTTTTAAAGTCCATTCGGCATAAAAATACTCTAAAAGTAATAATAATTAACTATTATATTAATTTGTTTGTTTGTTAAGATATCAAACTCATTATTTATCTGTCTTTTTAAAAAATAATTAAAATGATAATAAAATTATGGAAAATCCAATTAATAAAATATATACATAATTTGAATAATTATTTTGATATCATTTTATACTATAAAAATAAATGCATAATTTTAAGTAGATATGAAATCATAAAATTATAGTTAAAATCAAATTTTGTTTAATCAAAACTAAATAATAAATAACTATTGATTTAATGGATCTAACAGTTCGTAAGCCATCAGCTCAAGTATCAGTCAAAAGACCAGTCGGTCGACCAAAAAAAGAGATGGATATTGAAAGCCGAGTGCGAAGAGAGATCGCTAATCATCGGGAAAGACAACGCGTAAAGAGTATTAATATTGGGATTCAAGCGTTGCGTCAAATGTTGCGATCGGACGACTCAAACACAATCAGCAAATCGGCGGTACTTTTCCGTTGCGCTGATTATATACTGACTCTCGAAAAACAATTAGCAAAACATGTCGAAGAAAATGTTTTACTTAAGATTATTTCAGCGCAACATTACGAGACACAAACCGACAAATAAATTATTATGTTTTTATTAAAATGTTATAAATAAATTACAATCTATTATATTAATAAAATTTACAGTATATTATATATATAAAAAATAAATATTTTAAAGATTTCGTTTAACATATTAATTTTTTTTTATTTAATCTGTTTTTTAAAATTTAAATAACTATATTAAAATATAAAAACAATTCCTAAAAAAATTAATGTTTATTAAAATGAAAATGCCAATTGAATCTGTCTAACATTGGATCAATGGTCTAATTATACTAAAATATTATTAATTAATTATATTACTAAAGCAATAAATTTGTTATGCATTATGATATAAATATTATAGTTTGCAAATTCAGATTATATGCAATGTAAGCAGTGTTTTTACACATACACACACACACACACACACACACACACACACACACACACACACACACACAGACACACACACACACACAGACACTCACACACACACACACACACACACACACACACACACACACACACACACACACAGACACACACACACACACACACACACACACACACACACACACACACACACAGACAGACAGACACACACACACACAGACACACAGACACACACACACACACACACACACACACACACAGTAATTTACTACAACTGTCTAACAGTGATTAAAATTTACATCAATTTTCAAAGTCATGACGAAATGCATATATTAATTGATTAATAATATAAGATTAAAATAATAAGTGTCACCACTTGAGAATAGATGTCCAGTGTATGGCAGAGGTATTATGACAACAATTTATCAAAATTGGTATTAAATTATATCTATAGTATTGTTTATGTTTGCCATTTTTAAAACTCTGATCATTGATACATTTCTATATGAAACTATTATATTTATAATGTACTGTATTGTATCGTACAATACTGTAGTATGTATTTTGAGAGGTGATGGCCCATCATATGGGGGAACAAACGGTTTTTTATTAATTAAAGCTTTTTAATTAATTAATAATAACAAATTGATTGGTTTGCAGTCAAACAATAGAGGGGGAAAACAATCTGTGGAAAGTTCTTCATTTAATACATATATATATAATACTGTAAATAATATATGATATAAATAACATAAAATATAAAAAATATCATTTGGTTGTAAATAACTGTAAATTTATTATATTTATACGGAAATAATAAAATAACATCTTTTAAAGAGTTTACAGTAAATATATAAAATATATTATAATATAATATTATTGTGAATTAGTAAATAGTTATATTTAAAAATATAATTGATCAGATAATAACAAAATTAATAATTATGTAGATTAAATTATAAACAATTTTAAATAATTATTTTAGTCAATCATTTTGCAATATTAAGCTTAATGTGTTTTAAGATTATCAAAAAAACAATATTAAATTATAAATCATTTTATAATATAAAAAATATATAACAATAAAGAATTTCTACATAAAAGTAAGTAAATTAGTTTTAATCCAATTAATAACAACATGTGTTATACTGCGACAACTGTTGATATTATAAATATAGAGGAAACTAATTGATAGGAAAGTTGTTAATATTCCCAAAGCAAACAACCATTTTTCAAATGTCGAACTCTTAGGTTTGGCCAAAGAGTCGTCACTTTCCATATCATTGAGTGATATCTTTTGTGGTAAGGGTTTCTCATCTTTGCTAAACAAGGCGTATGACAACCAAAATATAATGGACAACACGTGAGTCAACCTAATGATCCATAGGCTAGAGTTCAACACAAACCAATCGTTACTATCAATAGCCCATTCAACCGATGCCACGAAATAGTAGTCAAAAGGAAAGTATATTAAGCATCGGATGATCTCAATATAGGGACCAATTTTCCTATATTATAAGGATATTATATTTTATTATAATATCAATTAATACATTATTTATAATTAATTTAATAGTTTTCCTTAATATTTTGTTGCAATTATCAATAAAAAATACTTAATCGCTTACCTGCCATCAAAGATTGTACCGATAGATGTTAATACAAATATTATGTATAAGATAGCGACTAAACCTTTAAAAGCTGAGTAACGCTTTAATAATTATTTATAAAAAAACAATATAATTAGTTAGTCCTAAGCATTATAGGCTTACATTATAGGCTTACAATATATGGGTGATCAGCTAATTGTATGAATGCCACCACAATAATAGTTGAATGTATGACTACATAATACTTTTTCCAGAGAGGTATATACGGATCCCACGAGTATTTAGGAGCAGCCGGATCGGGCTCTGGAACTTCTTTGATTAGTCCAAGTCTAGGTTTTCCAGGAGCCCAACCGGGACCTTTAAACAATGCTGAAAACTTATTACCTATACCTTGAACTTCATTAAATTTTTTGATAACATCCTTATAGTAACCGAATTGAAGAGTCATTGAGTCAAAAGTTTTAGGTGTGGGCGACACGACTCCAAAAACTATCTTTTCTTTTTCCGTTTGATAGGTACCGAAAATACGGTCCCAAATCATAATGAGAGCGCCGTAGTTCTTATCAATACAATAGGGATTCTTTCCGTGATGAACCCTATGCTGACGGGGAGTATTGATTATATACTCTATAAAACCCAAATTACCCACAACTTCATTGTGAAGCCATATCTGATATATAAGACTAAACTGAAGGTGCACTACAAGTATTGGCGGCGGAATTAGCATTGCCAGTGGTATAGGAAATATCTGTATAATTTATATATAAATAGATATATTGAGAAAATTTATTTATTAGACATACGTCGTAAAGAATAAGATCCACAACAGAGTCCCGAACAGTAGTAGTGATGTTGACATCTTCTGCCATGTGATGGAAGGAATGGGCGGCCCATAGGATATTGATTTCATGTAATGCCCGGTGAGTCCAATAGTAGGTAAACTCGACCAAAAGCAATGAAAAAATCCACGTCCATATCGAGTGAAGTGGTAAGTCTACTATACGGTAATTTTCATTGATATACGTGAATACTATGATTACCACTCCTAATAATAGAGTCCTATAATTTATATAACATATAAAATAATATAGTATTTATACATTAAGTTAAATGGTTTATAAAATTATGTAAAATTTTCATATGTTTCCAGTTTTTTAGCTTATTTTAAAAGAATCTAATATCAAAAGATTTAAATGATAATAAGGGTTATATAATTGTAATGTTATCCACCATTTATTATACAACATATTGAGTATAATATTCAATTATATTGTACATTACCGGCACAATGTAAACAAAAGAGCTGATCCTATATTAATAACAATATCTTGAAATCGCGACAAATCTTTATTCATAAAAAATCTGATGATTTGTTCCAAAACGACAAGCAATCCGATGGCAGGCATTAACTACAATATATTTTTTATAAATCAAAATTATAATATAAAACTTAGATTTATTGCTTTATCTATACTTACGGTCACTTCATAATTGGGTACATCTTCGGCATTATCTTTGGTGTGTTCGTGTGGTGACAATATGTAGAACAACGACAGTATCTGTTCGGTCAACGATAAGGCCGTGTCTTTAACACAGAGACCTAAACTGACCGCTTCGGTCACTGAGCTATTGCTGGCCATTGATTTCAATATTAAACTATAATTTATTTTCGATAATGTTTGAGATAGTCTAACGAAAAAACACTGTATTTTTAAAAGTTTATTATTTCAAAAATACTATATCGTAGTTATTTAATAACAATGATATACTGTATATGTAGTTTACAATATTAACACAAAGAAAAACCACTTATTAATTATTTTTATTATTATTATATTTTTTAAAGAGTGACGCACATATAATTATAATATTATTATTAAGTTGTTAGTGTTAATTATTTCATGTTTATATTAAAATATAGTAATAATATTAATGCCCGAATAGTACTAAAATTTAGATAAAAAGTGGAAAAAATATTTATTAAAAACCAACGAATTAATAAAGAAATAATTATTATTATTGAGTACTTGATATTATATTGTATTTATACAAAAGGAAAAAATTATTTAAATTAAAAAAATAAAAAATCTTTAATTTATAAGTTTATATTTTATAAAATATGCAATTTTTTGATTTAAAAATATATACTTTAGTTATCAAATCAATAAAATGAAGCAACTAATATTATGCAAATAATTTATTTAGCTATAATGATGATAATAGCTATGATTATGATAATAGATAGAAATTAATAACAGATATAATATGAGATTAAAATTAAAATTATAAAAAATTAAAGTAATTTTAGCTGAAAATTTCAAGTAATCAGTTCTCAACATTTGCACAAAAATATTTTTTAGTGAATTAGTGAATGATTTATATGAAATTTATATTTTATTAAAACTAAAAAAAGTTTAAAACCAATACAATTACATTATACATACTGTTTAATTAAAACTTTAATTTACATTTTTAGAATTAATTTAAAATGAAATGTAATTAGTATATTAAGAAATTTAAAAAATACTAAGTAAGCTATTTACTCAGATTTAAAAAAATAACTCATTAATTTATAAGATAATTATCTATTTTAGCATTTTTAATAGCTATAAATTTAATTAATAGGCAATTTAATGACAAATACAATACTTAATTGTAATTAGTAAAGTATTTTAATTAAATCATTTACTTGTTTTAATATTTAATATAGATTTTTCATATATAACTTATTCTTTTAATTTATTCATTTTAGTATTTAGTTGATAAACACATGTAAAACAACACACAAGTTGTTTGACAATGTCATGTGAAGTTCAGGTAATTAAATAGATTATGATTTAAGTATTGATTTTTAAATTTAATATTTAATTTAATATTTAATTTAATATTTAATTTAATATTTAATTTAATATTTAATTTAATATTTAATTTAATTTTTAATTTTATATTTAATTTTGTTAGAATTTAGCTTATGTAATAAGCTCTACACCATTTAACAATAATGATGTTAATCTTAATCATTCAATTAACTACACTTATATCGATGAAACCACTAATGAAACCGGTGTTAATATAATCCAATATATAGTCTATGACTATTGGATCAATAAATCTGATGAAAGGGTTGATAAGTATTGGTTGTTTGGCGGCGGACCGCAAATGTTTGCCCTAATATTGTTCTCATGGCTTGTATTTGTTGTTAAAATTGGTCCCAATTTGATGAAAACTAAACAACCATTTGTTTTACGCGAAATAATGATGGCCTACAACTTGATAGTAGTTGTGATCAATATCTATGCCGTAATTGTTTCAATCAAATGGTTAGACTTCGGGAAAAAAACATTTGAAATAGAATTACTTGAGAGAAACAATACATCCGATGAAGTGATGCAAGAAATTCATGAAAAAATGATTGTATTTTACTCTAAATTAATTGATTTATTCGATACAATATTTTTTGTATTACGAAAAAAGTCGAACCAAATTTCATTTCTCCATTTGTATCATCATTTTATGGGTAAATCTATTTTAAATTTATAAATATTTAAATTCGTTATACAATGACTTACTTGAAATTTAAATAATTATTTTTAAAATTTTTAATGACTTTATTATTAATTTAGTACCAGTTTTAGGTTATATGGCAATGAAGACGGGAAGTGTTATGAGTTGTGTTTTTGGCGTTTTTGTTATAATGAATTCAACGGTTCATATCATTATGTATTCATATTATTTTTTGGCGGCGTTTGGACCTAAAATACAGCCATATTTATGGTGGAAGCGATATATAACACAAATACAATTAATACAATTTGTTATTTTAATTATTTATGCAATTTATGTGTTTATCGCTAAAGATTTGTCACAATATCCCGATGCTATCAAATGGACAGTTATTGTTCAACCATTTATTTTCTTTTATATGTTTTTGAAATTTTATTTAATTACTTACAAAAAGAGTGCAAAGATTATTAAAAATAATTAAATACAAAACTATATTTTTGAAAAATAATAATTGATTAATCAAAATAATAACAATATTCTAAATGAATTTATATAACTATATAATAATAAACATAATTTTATTTTTATTAATTTAGTGTTTATAAAATACTTTTAAATTTTAAAAATAATTATATGATAAATTTAGAAAATTAAACTAACAATTATAAATATTGATTTAGAATATTAACATATTTTTGTGAAGAATATCTTAATAAAAGTTTAACAAAATTGTTTTTATTTTTACTAAAATTTAAAAAAATATTTTATATATTAATAATAAATAATTATTCAAATAGTTTTAGTATTATAAAAATAAAATGAATAAAACTATAAATTATAAAACATAACAAATAATTAATGCAAACAAAAGTCAAAACGAATGCAAACCATATGTATGTCCACAAAGATATTGAAAGTATTATTGATTTGTATGTAATTATAGATTTATTTTGATATAATAATTAAATTATTGTAATAATTATTATAATAAATAAATAATACGTAAATTTTTTATAAGATTTTAAATCAGTATTATTACTATAAATTTTATATAAAGTTATATGACTATTATTTTGGAGTTAATTAAATAATTATTTTGCTAAATTATACACTTTAAAAATTTTTAACTACTAGTAAAACTACTATATAATGACATTTCTAAAATTTTAAAATACTTAAATTAAATTATTAAGCATACCAATAGTATCAAATCTATTAATATTATATATAATTTATTGATTAAAATACTAGATAATTAATGTAATTTAAAAATTAAATATTAATATTATTCTAAAAATTTTATAAATAGTAAACACTAATTACAGCAATTGCTAAACAAAAGAGAAAGATTGAGAAATGGATAACTATTTTGTCGACTTTTCTGAAATAAACATTTATTAAGTTTACTATTTTAACGTTTAACCAAAATTGAGAATAAATAGATCCTAATATTCCTGATATTAATTTTTTCATGACTTCATCTAATTTTTTATATTTTTTTCTATGTTATCATAATTTTAACACTATATTGCAGTTAAAAAGTTAGTATATCTATCATAGAGAATATATTTTTTATTGTCTATATTTCACTCAATAATCTCTAAAAAAAGTTTCTAAATAATTTTATTATTTAACCCAAAGTTTCTAGAATCCAATATTTTTACTTAACCTTAAATAGTTTCAGTGATTTATAATATTTATTTTTGAAGCTATAAATAAAATCAGTATAGGATTGACAAAACAAACTTTAATAGCATGAATTATTTTTAATAATAATTAAAATAAGAAAGCGTAGTAATTAATTTGTTTTAATTTATTTATTATATAATATTTAATATCTTATACTACAATGTAATATTAAACAAATGATCAATAAAATTACTACTTATAAAACAATTATTTAGATTTATTGACAGAATTACTTTTTTGTATTAAATAACTTTTTTTGTAAAAATCATAAAACATATAAAAGAAAAATATTGGTTGAGGAAAGCCTACGACTATCCAAAAATATGGATAACCTTTTTGAAAGAAAGCCAACATTAAAGCATATGCGCCTAATATGAGGAACTGTGCCAATTGAAGTTGAGTTATATACCGTTTCCACCACAAATACTTTTGAACTTTCGGTCCAAATGCCGACAAAAAATAGTAGCCATACATTAAAAAGTGAATCAATGTATTCATTAATATAAATAAATATATGCCCGGCATAAATGGACACATCTTGATTATTAGCCAACCAAAAAATGGGACCGACATGTGATGGTAGACATGTAATAGTGATAAATGAGAAAACTTTTTGCCCAAAGCAAAAAATACACTATCAAACCAATCCATCAATTTTGAAAACAAATAGAGATAACCTAAGATATATAAAATTGATAAATTTAATATAAAATTATATTATTGTTATTATTATTTATACAATAACTGAGTCAATACAAACCGATAACAATTTTTTCTTTAGTTTCAATGTTTGATGTCTTGTCCATCGGATAATCGAGTTTAAGGAATACTCGACCGTAATCTATGTGATTGAATACCTCAACAAATGCACACAAATTAAATAAAGACATCAATAAATCGTAAGTTAAAATTGATTTCTTTAAGTTATACGGTTCACGATTAGCCATATGTCGCGGCAAATATATACGGATTACATAATAATAAAGTGATAGAAATATAATGGGAACGAGTGGTCCATAGTTTACAAGTGGTAAGTGTTTGGTCCGCGGGTCCTGAATGTCAAACCAATAGTCATATAAATAATAATTTGTTGCATTTAGCACATCATCAATCATAAATATCAATTGATTACTATTAGACATTATTTTATTTTAATTTCTTTTATAAAAACTCTTAATTAATATCTCTTATAAAATCTTAATATATAAAATATAAAATATTTTTTAATGCCTTATATTAAAAATTAATATACAATTTGCTAAATATAGATAATATTTTATATTTTGAATAAATCTATTTCTTCATAAACAAGCAATTATTTATATCTTTTATTTTTAATTATAAACATTAAATTTAATGAAAGTATTTGTTAGTATTTTTGTCAATAATACGCATTGTTTTAGTATTTGTCTTAAAATAGTTATTTTATATAAATTAAATACTGTATAAATAATTATCATTTTATAATTATACAGTACATTAATATTTGATGGTTTATCCTAAAAAATATTTTTAAAAGTTCATTAAATATAAAATTAATTATAACAAATAAATATTTATCAAACATTTTTTTACTTACATTATCCAATTAATGTTTACAAATTCTATATTTAGTTATTTAAGTATAATTTTATAAAATGTTAATTTTCATTTTTTTAAATAACTAAATTTTAGTGCAAAATTTTTTGTTTTATACATACTGTTAACAACTCCTTGTATGATACATATTGCGAAATAAATATTTTTCGTAAATTGTAGTAAAATTATAAAATATAAAGTCATCATGCACAAATAAAACTATTTTTCTATAAATATTTATTTACCATAACTTTAATTTCAATTACTTTAATGTTTTAAGCACGTAGATACTCATTTATTATACTAACATATGCATAGAAATCTATAAATATCAATATGTTATAATGCTTTATTAGCTATTATTTGATTGTAAAAAATTATAGTTATCTTTAATTTAAACCTAATTACTTTACATGTTTTTAAAAAATGCTTTTTTTACATTTCTAATTAAAAACAATTTGTGTCATTAATAATGTTTTTGTGCAATTTTAACGATAAGTTACGTTTGATATTTTAAAATAAAATAAACGATAGTTTTAATACTATTAAAACTATCGCTTATTTTATTTTAACTCTCTTTAATGCTATCATGATAGATTTTTGAATTTAACTTTATTACATATTTTATAATAATGCTAATAATATACCTTACTCATTTACAAATAAACTATTACTATCAAAATTATTTTTTACTCTATTCAATAATCAATGATTAATAATCAAAGTTAATAGAGTCTATTGTATTAATTTCAAATATTAAATGTAAAAAATCTTCTAAACATGTTTAAAATATTTGTTTTATTAAAATTTTTTTATTCCCTAATAAATTTTGTTATGTTATATTTGTTTTATTCATTTAGTTTTAATATTTTCTCTATAATTAACGTTGAAGGGATCAATTAATGACCTATGACCCATGACCTATGACCTATGACCTATGACCTATGACCTATGACCTATGACCTATGACCTATGACCTATGACCTATGACCTATGACCTATGACCATGAATATACTATAATGATTTGCTAAGCAATGGTCACTGATTATCGAATTTATAGAATTTATAATTTATTGAAATAGATTAATATTATTATTAATAGAATTTATTAAATATACGACCCCTAACTATAACTTACTAATATATTACATTTAATTATTTTTAAAATATTTGTAAATATTTGTATTATATTATTTAGTTATAATTTTTTAAAATTTAATAGACTAGTTGACCAAATTACTATTAATATAAAGTGAGCCAGGTAAAACACCGTTAATAAGTTATACTTTCTACATGTATTATATGTTCAGGAATGCTATTTAATAAAAATAAGTATAATGCTTACATTAATATACAAAATTACAATATAATTTTTTAGCAATAATCAATTTTATTTCAACTTAGTTTAATAATAAATATATTGATATCAAAAATTAATAAAAGGATAACATTTATTCAGATTTACTTTTTTGTATTAAATAACTTTTTCTATAAAAATCATAAAACATATAAAAGAAAAATATTGGTTGAGGAAAGAGTACGACTATCCATAAATATGGATAACCTCTTTGAAAGAAAGCTAACATAAAAACATAAGCACCTAATATGAGGAACTGTGCCAATTGAAGTTGAGTTATATACCGTTTCCACCACAAATACTTTTGAACTTTCGGTCCAAATGCCGACAAAAAATAGTAGCCATACATTAAAAAGTGGATAAATGTATTCATTAATATAAATAAATATATGCCCGGCATAAATGGACACATCTTGATTAATAGCCAACCAAAAAATGGGACCGACATGTGATGGTAGACATGTAATAGTGATAAATGAGAAAACTTTTTGCGGAGAGCAAAGAATAAACTGTCGAACCAATCCATAAATTTTGATAACAAATAGAGATGACCTATAATATTACAAAATTATAAATTTAATAATAAAATTATATTATTGTTATTATTATTTATACAATAACTGAGTCAATACAAACCGATAACAATTTTTTCTTTGATTTCAATGTTTGATGTCTTGTCCATCGGATAATCGAATTTAAGGAATACTCGGCCGTAATCTATGTGATTGAATACCTCAACAAATGCACACAAATTAAATAAAGACATCAATAAATCGTAAGTTAAAATTAGTTTCTTTAAGTTATACGGTTCACGATTAGCCATATGTCGCGGTAAATATATACGGATTACATAATAATAAAGTGCTAGAAATATAATGGGAACGAGTGGTCCACAGTTTATAAATGGCAAGTGTTTGGTTCGCGGGTCCTGAATATCAGACCAATAGTCATATGAATAATAATATATATTGTGTAACATATTATCGTAACCCAACAATATTTTGCTTCTGAGTGACATTTTATATCAATTATTTAATAAAATTTAATATTTCAAATTAAAATTGTTTAGACAAAATTTTTACTAAAATAGTTAATATCAAATGATTGATTCATATAACATTTTTTTCTTTTAAAGATTTTATTTTATTGTATTAGTAAACTAATTAAAGGGTAACTATTATAACAAATAGGTTAATGACAAAGTGATAAACATTGAAAACCTCATTATATATTATATAAACAAGCATTTCTAATCATTAAGTTATATTAATTTTCAAAATAATTTGTTTAATAATAATGTACTTTATATTAGTAGTAAAATATTAGTTGATTTTGTCAAGCATGAAGTTTTTATAAAAATATATTTATTTTATTTTCTAAAAATATAAAGCAGTTGAGAATGCTAGAAAACATTTACGAACTCCTTATCCAAATTAATTCTTAAATTATAATTTACTTGCAATTTTAAATTACTCTGTGTTACAAAATAAACACAAAATTAGACATTTAAGGTACCAAATGATTCAGATTGACAGAATAAAATCAAAAATAGTAATGTATGGTATCAAATTATTTTTTTATTTAATTATAAATTTAAATGCAGATCTTCTATACTTCATTGACTTGACTTTTGTGTTATAATTTTAATAAGGCCTCAGATTTCTAAATATTTCTATAAATTAATACTTTAAGTAAACAAAGATAAGGTCAACAAAATAAATTCAAGCGATTAAAGTATAACATGTGATGATATTGAATACATGAAATAAAAAAATACATACAAAATATGTATAAATAAAAACACATTTTTGATATAAATAAACTGTTATTATAATTATTTATATTAATTTAATTATATGTTTAAATATATATATTAAAAGTTATTGTTAAAAAAGTGAATTTAAATCATTATACAATAGTATTGATAAACAAACAGTTATTATTTTAATAAATTAGTGTTAAAATTATAGACAACAATAACTGCTATAAAATTATTTTTGGATAACAACAACAACAACAACACCATTGGAAACAACAACAACAACAACAACAACATAGTTAACGTATATTTAATAAAAAACTGATGACATCATTGATTCATAAATATATTTATATATATTTATAGTTTATATAATTTTTAATTATATCTAAATGTATTGACAAATGTTGAAATTGTATTATAATATATAAAGTTTATAATAAAAATTAAATTAATTTTTTAAACGTAATTTTATTAACATTATACTACAAAAACAACATTTAATTTGATTTTTTGATATTTATAGTATTTTGTTTATTATAACTCTTTTTATAAAAATCGTAAAACATATATAAAAAGAAAAACGGTTGGGGAACACCTAATACAATCCATATACGGGGGTAACCAGTTTGAAAAAACATCAATATTATTGCATAAACACCTAAAATAATAAACTGTCCGATTTGTAGTTGTGTTATATACCGTTTCCACCACAAATACTTTTGTATACGCGGACCAAATGATGATAAAAAATAATATAAATACATTAAAAAATGTATGAATGAATTCATTAGAAGAAACAATCGTAAACCCGGAAGAAATGGACACATCTTTATGTTTAGCCAACCAAAGAATGGGACCGACATGTGATGGTAAACATGTAATACTGATAAATGCATAAACTTTTTGCGGAGACCAAAGAATATACTGTCGAACCAATCCATAAATTTAGATAACAAATAAAGATAACCTGTAATACAATATTTGTAATTTTATATTAATTTTTAGTCATAAATAAATTTGAAATTATTTTAAAAATCATTAATATTTAAAAATTATATTAATTGTTATTTTTCAAAATTTGTTATTATTAGTTAATATTATAAAATAAAATATAATACAAATACCTAAAGCAATTGTTTCTCGTGTTTTATAATTAGATGATCTGTCAGTCGGAAAATCAACGATAAGAAATAGTCGGAAGCTTTCGATTAGATTAAAACTTTCATAAAACCAATACAAGTTTGTTAATGACATAAATAAATCGTAAGCTATGATCAGTTTCTTCAAGTTATACGGTTCACGATTAGCCATATGTTGCGGCAAATATATACGGATTACATAATAATAAAGTGATAGAAATATAATGGGAACGAGTGGTCCATAGTTTACAAATGGCAAGTGTTTGGTCCGCGGGTCCTGAATGTCAAACCAATAATCATATAAATAATAATTTGTTGCATTAAACACATCATCAATCATAAATATCAATTTATTACTATTAGACATAATATTATAATAATTAAATTATATTATTTTTGATTAAAAATATTATATATAACTTTTATAATATTGAACAGTATTTTTGTGAATTTTCGATGTCTTATATTTTAAAAAGTGCAAAAAATATAATATATTTATTAAATTATATTTATTACTTTATATAATATTTTTTATAAAACAATCAATTATATAGTAATATAACACAAGTAATATTAAATATAATGAAAGTATTTTTTACAATAATATTCATTATTTTATTTTAAAAACACTAATTTAAATAAACAATAAATATTATAAATTTATATTAATATATAATGGTTTATCCATAAAATATTTTTTTTTAATATTTAATTTTATATTTTAATGCTTTATATATAATTTAAAGTAAATTTGTCTGTTTGTGATGAGAAAAGACATTTTTGTTGTCGATTGCATATACTTTACATTATTTTTGATGTTATAATCGACTCTGATATCAGAATTTTAAAATTCGCAAAACTTGTGAAATACACATACATTAGAGTAAACAATGTTTTTAAAGTTTGTTTAAATATAATCTAATTATAAAACAGTTTTAATAGTATGTCATAATTATTTTCTAATGTTAAAGTATTGCCAAAATTAGTCAATTTACTATATCTTTGAATGAATTGTATAAAGTTTACAATACACTCTGTATAAAATTTAGTAGTATTTATATTAAAATTTTTATTATTTTGATTTTATGGCAAAAGGATGTCTATATCCTTTTCATTAAATTTAAAAAATAAAAGTTTTTTAAAAATGTTTTTTATTTTAATATGAGTTTTTAATAAATAATAGTCAAAAATCAATAAAACGATAACATTTATTCAGATTTATTAATACTTATTTACTTTTTTGTTTTACATAACTTTTTCTATAAAAATCATAAAACATATAAAAGAAAAACAATGGTTGCGGTAATCCTATGAATATCCAGAAATAAGGATAACCTTTTTGAAAACTTATTAAAATAATGCCATAAATGCCTAATATAATAAACTGTCCTAGTTGCAATTGGGTTATATACCGTTTCCACCACAAATACTTTTGAATACCCGCTCCAAATGAAGACAAAAAATAATATCCATACATTAGAAAATGTATTAATGTATTCATTATTATAAATAAATATAATCCGGGTATAAATGGGCATATTTTGATTATTAGCCAACCAAAAAATGGGACCGACATGTGATGATAGACATGTAATAGTGATAAATGCGAAAATTTTTTGCGGAGTGCAAAAAATACACTATCGAACCAATCCATGAATTTAGATAACAAATAGAGATAACCTGATTTGAAATAAAAATAATTATATTAATTAAATTAATTATTGGTAATATTATAATTATTTATATATAATATTAATTTATTAAATACCTAAAGAAATAAATTCTTTTGTCTCATTGGTTGATGTCTTGTCTGTTGGATAATCAAAGTCAAGAAATTTTCGGCCAAAATCTATAACTTTTACGGACTCATAAAACCAATACAAGTTTGTTAATGACATAAATAAATCATAAGTTATGATTAGTTTCTTTAAGTTATACGGTTCACGATTAGCCATATGTCGCGGCAAATATATACGGATTACATAATAATAAAGTGATAGAAATATAATGGGAACGAGTGGTCCATAGTTTACAAATGGCAAGTGTTTGGTCCGCGGGTCCTGAATGTCAAACCAATAGTCATATAAATAATAATTTGTTGCATTAAACACATCATCAATCATAAATATCAATTTATTACTATTAGACATTATAATATTCTACTTAAATTAAGTTTAAAGATTTTAAAAGTAAAAAGTTTTGAAAATATTTTAATAATATCACAAATGAATTTTTAAATAATATTTGATGCCTTATCTTTTTATAATATAAAAATTAATTTTAATATATAATACATAAAATACAAATTTCTTTTATAGAAAAAATTCTTTTAATTTTATAATTTATTTGTAATTACTAGACATTTTTTAATTATTGTTTTTAAAAATACTCCTGGATATTTTATTGTTTTTTCATTATGTATTTTCTGTTTTATTATTTATTTTATTTAAATAATTATTTAATTAAAAAAAGATTAAGTAATAATTCATTTAATTTATAAAAAATATAATAGTATTAAATATTAAGTATTTGATAATGATAATTTTATCATCTAAATATTATTTATTAATATATACAGTAAAATAAAAAAATATATTTAATATTAAATTAAAAAATAATACTTATAATTYATTATACTATTTGTATTTCATTTAATTTTAAGAAATATTTTTAAAACTATTTTATTAAACTTTTTCTTTACTAAATTTTTTTGAAAAATAATATATTGAAAGTCGTCAGTATCTCATTTATAAATAAACTATATTTTTACATTTATTTATTAAATTAACATTTAATATTATACACAAAATATTTTGATAAATATTTTATTTCAATTTATAAAATTTTTTTAGTATAATACTTATAATTTACAGTTATTGTAACTATTAATTAGATTTATTTAACATTTATGATCTATTGTTTAAAATAACTAGTTTTATAGAAATCGTAAAACATATAAAAGAAAAACAATGGTTGCGGTAACCCAACAAATACCCAAAAATAGGGATAACCATTATTTAAGAAAACCAATGTTAAACCATAGACGTCTAATATGATGAACTGTGCCAATTGAAGTTGGGTTATATACCGTTTCCACCACAAATACTTTTGTATACCAGCACCAAATGAGGACAGAAAATAATATCCATACATTAAAAAGTGAATAATTGTGTTCATAAAGATAAACAATAGTAAAACGGGAATAAATGGATTTATTTTTATTAAAAGCCAACCAAACAGAGGAACAATCATATGATGATAAACATGTAATAGAGATAAATGAGAAAACTTTTTGCGGAGACCAAAGAATACACTATCGAACCAATCCATGAATTTAGATAACAAATAGAGATAACCTGTAATACAATATTTGTAATTTTATATTAATTATTAATCATAAATAAAAGATTCAAAATTTTAAAAATTAATATTAATTCTTAAAAAATATTATTTTAATTTTTTTGCTATTAATTAGTTTAAAATATTAAAATATATCAATATATTTAGTAAAAAAGTTAGTATGCCATATTTTTATTACAAAATTAAAAATTAAACATTTAAATAGTTATATAAATTATAGTCAAATACCTAAAGCAATAATTTCTCGAGTGTTATCATTAGATGTTTTGTCAGTCGGGTAATCATAGTTAAGAAATACTCGACCGCTGTTTATATGTTTTAAACACTCATAAAACCAATACAAGTTTGTTATACGGATTACATAATAATAAAGTGATAGAAATATTATGGGAACGAGTGGTCCATAGTTTACAAATGGCAAGTGTTTGGTTCGCGGGTCCTGAATGTCAAACCAATAGTCATATAAATAATAATTTATTGCATTTAACATATCATCAATATGCATAAATATCAAATTATTACTGTTTGACATTATTTTATTGTAGTTAAATTTTATTTTATTCAAAATTAAATTATATTATTTTTTAGTTTAAAATTTTATGAAAAATTAAGAATATAAACGAATAATTTTCAATACCTTGTATTTTATATACAAAAATAATAATTTTAATATACATCACATTAAATAATATAATTATAATTTAAATAAATTTGTTTTTATAGACAAGCAATTGTTTATAAACTATAATTTATTTGTAATTACTTAATAATAAATTCAATGAAAGTATTTTTAATAAATTTTTCAAAAATATTTATTTTATTACTATATTTAAAAAAATAATATGAAGAATAAATATTTTATATATACACTATTAATATTTAATGGTTTATATAATATATAATAATATAAAATATTTCCTTTATAAACAAATAATTATTTATTTATTATAAGTACAAACCTTTACATTTTTTACATAATCTTTTTAATGTCTTCTCCACAAATCAGTTATATGTATAACTGTTTAATATTAAGAAAACTTTATTTTTATCAAACTCGATGTCTATACAAATCAACTATTTTAATCCAAATTAAAAACATATTACGATTTTATTAATATTATTATTAATTTTATTTGAAAGTTTAAATATTAATTATTATTTTAATATTAGTGTATAATAATCAGTGTTGGCAGAGACAAAGTGTATGTATAATACAAAGCGTATTATACAGTATAATACAATGTAAATTACATGACAATTTTGGCTTACAAAAAAATTTAGCGCCACCTAAAACATATTAGTATAGTAACAAAAATACTAAAATTCACAAACAAACACGTGTTTTGTAATAATAATTATTATTTTATATTGAAAAAATTTGAAATTAGCTATTTAATTTAATTCTGGTATTGAAATATATTAATAAAATAATTAATATTAATTTTAATAGTTTTAGAAAACAACGATTCTAATAAAGATATTGAAATTATGTAATAATAATAATAATTTTAATAAAAAATAAATATTTTATCATTGTTAATGAAATTTTTCTATTATTGTAAAATACATCCAGTACATTGTATTTTACTGTATTTTACATAGCCAAAATTGAAAACCTTGTATTTTTCTAACCCTGATAATAATAGTAGATGAGTAAAAAAAAGGCAGAAATTCTTTCTAAAAATTATTTTTGGTAATGCTATCTTAGATATGTACTATCAATAGTGTTGGCAAAAAAGAGAAATTTATAAAATAAAAGAGAAATTTCTAGAAAGTTTCTAAAAAAAATTCTATCTATGGGATCCCCATTTTAATTTTGTTTTTCTCGATATTTGTTATCTTGTTACAATACATTGTTTTTACAAGTAATAACTAAATATTAGTATTAGTATTTTAATTATTAATTAAAGTAAAAATTAATTTATTTAATTATATTAAATTCTTATCTATATAATAAAATGATTATTAAAATTTTACAAAATTGATTATTATTAAATAATTATAATTATTTTATATACATGTATAGGTATCCCATTTTGTATAGTAGTGTTACTACATTATATACATGTAGTACAGTATAATGTTATATGAATAGTATTATGATTCTTTATTAATATAGTTTTAAAATAGCTATAGATATGGAGATCCCATAGTATAACTATAAAGTTAAATTTCTATAGAAAATTATTCCTGAGAAATTTCCTAGAAACTTTCTATTTGCCCATCTCTAGCTATCTATCATTTTGAGTCAAAGTATCCAATGGATCAACGCTTTAGAGCTATGTTTTATTGAAGCATTTTTTCATAAATTAATCAAAATTTCTTAATAAAAACATTACTTACTAATAGTCTTAAACAGCAGTGGTATTGATGATAGAGGCGATGCTATTAATTACAATTATACGGTCAAATGTATGTTGAATTCAAAAGTTACAAATTGTTAAGTTTTAAATAATATAAAGATATATAATTTTTTAAATTATTCTTATAATTTTTAAATAATTTTTAATTATAATTTAATTCATAGTCGACTGTTAAATAATATATAAAATAATAATTGTTTGCAATAATCTGGTTAAAAATATAATTAAAAAATGATTAATTATAATGTTATTTATCTTAATATTATATAACTTTGCTATTTAAAGTACAGTACAATTAACAGATAATTGTAATAAATAGTTTAGTCGCTATCATTGCCGCCGCTCATTAAGATTCAACTCTAATTTATACTAATCTTATTTAATTCAAATCAATAGTTAAATAAAAATCAAAAATCAATAAAACAATAACATTTATTCAGATTTATTAATACTTATTTACTTTTTTGTTTTACATAACTTTTTCTATAAAAATCAATAAAACAATAACATTTATTCAGATTTATTAATACTTATTTACTTTTTTGTTTTACATAACTTTTTCTATAAAAATCATAAAACATATAAAAGAAAAACAATGGTTGCGGTAATCCTATGAATATCCAGAAATAAGGATAACCTTTTTGAAAACTTATTAAAATAATGCCATAAATGCCTAATATAATAAACTGTCCTAGTTGCAATTGGGTTATATACCGTTTCCACCACAAATACTTTTGAATACCCGCTCCAAATGAAGACAAAAAATAATATCCATACATTAGAAAATGTATTAATGTATTCATTATTATAAATAAATATAATCCGGGTATAAATGGGCATATTTTGATTAGTAGCCAACCAAAAAATGGGACCGACATGTGATGATAGACATGTAATAGTGATAAATGCGAAAATTTTTTGCGGAGTGCAAAAAATACACTATCGAACCAATCCATAAATTTAGATAACAAATAGAGATAACCTGATTTGAAATAAAAATATTCAATTTTAATTAAATCTATTATTTAATTAACTTAATAATTTGTAAACATAATTATAATTAACATATAATTAATTAAATACTTAAAGAAATCAATTCGTTTGTCTCATTGGTTGATGTCTTGTCTGTTGGATAATCAAAGTCAAGAAATTTTCGGCCAAAATCTATAACTTTTACGAACTCATAAAACCAATACAAGTTTGTTAATGACATAAATAAATCATAAGTTATGATTAGTTTCTTTAAGTTATACGGTTCACGATTAGCCATATGTTGCGGCAAATATATACGGATTACATAATAATAAAGTGATAGAAATATAATGGGAACGAGTGGTCCATAGTTTACAAATGGCAAGTGTTTGGTTCGCGGGTCCTGAATGTCAAACCAATAGTCATAT